TCACGATCTCATATGGTAGCATGTCATCTGAACAGAAGTTAACTTGGACTCCATTGTATAGTAACTGCAAGACCTCCCTATATATCCCAAATCCCAAATCTCAAACTCGCGTCTCTCATCAAATGCGCTATCATTCTGAGGCCTGGGAAGCTTTGATCCATACTCCCAGTGGCAATATAGCTAAACATTAGGAGTAAATACAGCCGAAAGAAAAAATAGATATTTGAAATAATAGTAAAACGGATATATATGTAAGAAAATAATTAAGCATGGTCAGTGGAGAATTAATATAGGCAATAATGATATTATTGTAGTTAGGGCTTCCCGTTCTAGGTAGAGGATATCCATACTACCATGGCACTTAAGACCCTAAATGAAACCTTCCATCATCCAACCAGTAAGGTCTCGGTATCAGGTCGCCGCGCGAAGTCTGCAGACAATCTCCATTGATGGGACTAGACCGGGCGAGAACCCTGTCAAGTGACAGTAAACCCAACCTTTGACTTCTGGCTCGTATTATGTCGGTGGCAAGAGTCTTGCGTCATGTTGCGTCGCTGAAACACTCTTAAATAAACGTTGCTCTCCCTATTTCCCTAGAGCTTCACATTTACTCTATATGTACTTGCGAGACATGTAACAACAGACATACGACCTCAAACATGGCAGTAACTATCCCGGGTGGACGAGCGCCCATGCGGTAAGTGAATAGCCACAAACCTCATGACAAGCTGAAAGTGGTGATCCGCTTTGTCTTGGATGATACTAATTTGTGTCGACACTAATCAGCCCCCAAAACCCAGCCGCCTTTAGCGTTGTCGCCGGAGCAGCTGCGGCGTGGATGGCCTTTAGATGGTACTCGCCCTCGAAACCGGAGCCGAAATCACTCCCCTTTCCTTATGAAGATGCCGAGGACGTTATACAGTCCAAACCAAAGAAGAAAGGCCCAACCAGAATTCCTTGAAAAATTGGATAGCGGTTGTTTGGTGTCAAACTCGGAATCTAGTCTACTATAGCGGGTTTGGCATGCAGTCCTGCTCACATATATTGTGCGAATCTGTGTACTCATAATATATGACTCTAAAAATGCACTGTCGTTCTTTTCATCATTTAATAAATACTTATAGCGTATACTCGACCGTTATTCCTCATCTTAATATGCCAACTTGGCGGGATATAACTCCCTGCAAAGTAACACTGATGCTTATAAAGGATCTGTCAACTGTAGATTGCTATCACCTAAACAGGTAGGTAGCTATCTATCTAGCCAAATGATCAGCTGACCTACACTTACCACGTAGACCATATAGGTCACTGGATAAAGAAATCAGATCTTATTATACTATTACATCAAGCTTCTAGAAGTCTATTAGCAGAGATTGGTTGCCATTACAAACATTTCGAAAACTAACGTCGCTGATATGTCCTCTTTTCGCGCTCTTTCCGACCCAAGCCCCCAACATACCAGCTGCTATGACCTCGAATTGAGTGAAAGCAGTACTACCTGTGTGGGTTTCTTGTTGCGCCGTAGTACTTGGCCGGGTGTCAAGAAAATAACATAGCAGTTTGCCACCTACCTACTGTACGGTGTGCCGGTCAGCCTCTTCTTTAACATCACTTATTCGTCCATCACCAGAATAATGTAACCAAGAGGCGCGAGCAATGCATCCTCACATACACCACTCCTTTCCTCCACTTTTGCGACAATTGGGCCGTCCCCATATACCTCTATACCCTCAACGCGCTCGTTTTGTCGCAGGGCCTTTATCAATTCTCCCCTCTTGCGGATCCCAACTGTTGGCTCGCAAAATGGCTACCGCAAGTCAGCGGAAGCTCCCTTCCCCCCCAAACGGAACACGAAGATTTTTTTCGATACACAAGTGGACGATGGCTGTGAGATAAGGAGCAGCAGTTGAATGATAGGTGCAAACCTTTTGACTTTGTCGCCCTACAGAAAGTAGCAGCCGAGAGCGTGGGCTCAAGCACTTCGTGTCCATGCGAAAATTAGCAGTAGGAGGGTATAACAAGGTGTTTCGTCTTATTATGGATGATGAAAATAGTCATAGCACGTATTCCCAATCTGAATGCTGGCCCTCCGTTTTACACAACTGCATCGGAAGGTGCTACGATGGAATTTGTGAGAGCGCGTTCCTACTGCTGGTTAAGAAATTCATTGAAACTGACTTTCACACTAGGTTCCAACAATACTTGATATACCTGTTCCTAAGGTCTACAGCTGGAGCAGTAGCAATGAAAACGATGTCGGGACAGAATATATCCTTATGGAGGAAGCTGCGGGGCAGCAACTTGAGAACGTATGGGATCATATTTCTCCTGATTTAAAACTCGAAATTATGAAGGGACTTGTTTCAAGAGAGGCCAAGCTTTTGTCTTTGTCGTTTTCACAGCAAGTATCTGTGCCCGCTGGTACGCGCTGTTGCTTATATGTTTGCCAGCCATGGAAATATTTGCTTGGCAAGTGATGCAGTTGAGGATGCTGTTCCGGCAGAAATCATAAGCAACATACCACCGGAATTAAAAGAAAAAGCTCTTAAAAAGTTCACTATTAGGCCATCAGGCGAGAGGGGGTTTTGGAAAACGGAACGATCAGAAATGAAACTTGACCGGGACCCTTGTTCGTATTCCACTCCTATTATAACGAAAGAACCCTCTCATAACTAACAATCAGTGTTTAGGGCTAAACCCACTAGAATATGCTACGTCTGTAGGCCGTCGCGAAAGTTCATGGATTGAGAAATACGCTGTTCCAAAAGTCTCTAAGGACCCTCCTCTGGTTTCTGCGGCCCAAAATGACCCAGGGGTTCACATACAGCCCCTTGAAAAATATCTCACTGTTGCCCCTTATCTTTTGAAAATTGATAAACAGTTAACTCGCTCTCTTCTGTGGCATATGAATCTCCATTCCTCAAATCTATTTATTGATAATAGACATATTACCGCTGTCATTGACTGGCAGGGATCATGGGCCGGTCCAATTCTTCTTCAGGTCAAGGCATCGCCACTGGTTGATTATCTAGGACCCATGTTATTCAAACGCCCTGATGATTTCGACACACTTAGCGATGAACAGAAGACGCAAATCAAGCAGCAAATTCCGAAGTCAACCCTATTTCAACTTTATCTACTGGAGACTGAAGAGAATAACCCGGGACTAGCTAGTGCGTTCCATTTAGACCATGGGAAAACAATTATTCCCTTCGAATTTGCTGGTAATACATGGGATGATGACATTGTATCGTTTCGCGAAGCGCTCATCAATGTTGAAAGGTAACTAGCTATAAATCCACTTGAGATAAGTAACAACTAACAGTCATCTTTTAGACACTGGGGGGAATTATGTCCAAATGAAAGCTGTCCAATCCACTTTACTGAGGCTGAGCTGAAAAGCCATCTACAGGATGCAGAGGAATGGAATGGGGTCCAAGACTTCCTTGACAGTATCGAAAATCGTGTGAAAAGGGACGGGTGGATACATAATGAAACATTTGGCGAGGCTCTTACTTTCTTTTCAAAACTTCGAGAGGTAGGATTGAGTAAGAGGACAGGTAAAGAAAGGGAAGCTTTTTAATGAGAGACTCAGTGGGTAACGAAGGCACGACCATAAACTGTGGATACTGGATATTTTAGTTACTTATTCCATGGAACATTCTGCAGGTTCCGTGCTAACAGACTTCCTTTTATCATGTTAATGATAACATTACCAGCCTTCTTCGATTGCGTTCGGGGTCATTCCCTTAAGTATTCCGGAGCAGTGCCATGCCAGTGCCAGCTGCACAATTGTTGAGATGGATGGCAAGATGTGATTTATAGTACTAATATGCATGGAGACCCGTATGCCCCACTAGTTTCGTTGGATTCTCGAGCGAGAACATTCTGTAAAGAGAGGAAACGATTGCTTGCTATCCAGGATCAGTAGAGACGGATTCATCGCTGAGGATACCTCGGAGTCGAGAATAGTCAAGTAATTATTGACTTAGAATTTGCCTCTTAAGTTCACATCTTGAAAGCACAGCGCTTAATAGATATGCCGGTTTTTTTTCGGAAGCTACACCGGCTGGAGATTCATTTCGGCAGTTCGAGATACACAAAACCTTTCCTGCGACGGGTTTATAAGGTTATTCCTTGTGTGACATGAGACTGAATTCGAAGATCCACCATACAGCCTTAAGTAGTGTCACGTCAGCTGCAGAACTACTGCATCAGATAGAAAAAAGGGATTCATTAAGTAACATAAGTACTCTACTCTGCATCTACCAACACTTGGCATTTTTACACATGCCAAACAAAAAGAAGAGAGAGGAAACGTGAAGGGAAGAATTACTAAGGCAAGAGAAGCGGACGATCATCAACACAGCGCTTGGCGAAATGAGCACAGCGCTTACGCTTACCCACTGCAATACAATGCGATTGTTGATTTGTTACACAATCTAGGGTTTAGGTTGACTTGCAATTTGCAGTCAGCCTTTTAGCATCCATTGTACCTAGTGAATTCCAACATCGAGAATGTACTGGATACCAATGCTTGTTTCATGAGGCTCAGGTCGGATGACAGAGTCGGCGATCTCCTTGACTCAAAACAAGCCACACCAGGATGCGATGAGCATACCTGTATTAGCGCCACAAAAAGACCTAAAACTTGAGAATTGGTAGGAACCAATGGCTACGATGGCCGACATGGTATCGGGATTTGGGGGCATATCAGCCTTGCCGCCAGTCGGCCTGGCACCACAATCACAGCCAAGAACCGAGCAGGGGTAGTCTAAGGCTGTTCTAATGGCAATGCAATTTAAATCACGACTAATGCTACCCCCTTCAACGCCAGTAGTATCACATGGATTGCGCAGCGGGGCGCTAATATAGGCTGTCAGCCTCGTCGCTTCTGGCTGTTCTCCACCACGGCGCTTACGTTGGTTACTGGTAATAATATATCTTGTTCTCGCTGTGGTTTGTCTTCTTCAAAGGCAGCAAACGGCAGATAAGCAATGGAACAGAAGGTAAGCACAGGTGAACCCAATGTTCTCGACAAAACAGGGTTATGTCTACTATCGTTGGATGGTGGCGGTGTACGAGGGCTTTCAACCCTCTATATCTTGAAGCATCTCATGGCTCGATTGAGCTATGAACGACCAGAGCTTGGAAAAGTCAAGCCTTGCGAGGTATTTGATCTCATCGGTGGAACGAGTACGGGAGGCCTTATTGCGATCATGCTTGGCCGCCTCGAAATGAGCGTCGACGAGTGTATCGATACGTACGTCAAGTTAATCAGTACGGTTTTTGAGAAGAAGTCTCGATGGCCTGTAAATCTCTCGGGCAATGTCAGGTCTCGATTTGATGCAACGAAGTTAGAAAGTGCCATTAAAGATGTTGTGACCAGCCATGGAGCAAAGGAGACCGACCTTTTCAATGACGGATGCGAGCGTGGCTGTCGTGTGTGAGTATATAATCCCATCAATAATGTGGGTTAGTTCTTATGTGGATAGTTTTGTTTGCACCACATCGCATGAGACAAAAGATATTGTACGTCTTCGAGACTACAGTGTGCCGTCTAAGGATAACATCCCTGCCACTATCTGCCAGGCAGCACTTGCCACGTCAGCTGCGACAACATTTTTCAATCCTGTCTACATCGGAACACGAAAGTTTGTCGATGGTGCTCTAGGTTCAAACAACCCCGTGGACGAAGTGGAAGGAGAAGCGGCCGACATATGGTGCCCTGGTACCGGTGATTTAAAGCCGCTCGTGAAATGCTTCATCTCCATTGGGACAGGAGACCCCGGAATAACTGCGATTGAGGATAAGGCACTCAAGTTTCTTTCTGAGACATTGGTCAGTATTGTGACCGAGACTGGGCAGACAGAGAAAAAGTTCATAGCAAGATGGGCCAAACACTACGACGATAAACGATACTTCCGTTTCAATGTTGAACAGGGACTGCAAGGAGTTGGGCTAGAGGAATACCGGGAGCAGGGAACGATAGAAGCAGCAACGCATCGGTATTTGGATCATCAGACTCAGGTGTTTCGGGTGCGAGATTGCGTCGAGAACTTGAAGCTTAAACGGGGTGTGTACATTGAGAATTTTGCATAGGATACAATGGACATATAGTTAATCTGAACTAGGTATGGCGATGTCCAACATCTCAAGGATCCTCGGCGTACGTAGTGACCACGAACTTAAAGATCTCACATTGTATTCACACCTTATAGGGAAGCCATGCTCCACGTTCAACACAGGTCAATATACGTATGACTCTCGTGGGCTGTTGGTGTACCAATGCTAATTTTCGTATAGCATCAAGCCCTAAAGCACCCTGGACCGTCCCTTTCCGGCGGAATCCGCTTTTTGTCAGTCGCTCAGCGGAAATCGCCAGGGTTGATGATATTCTCAGTAATGACAGTGAATTCTCCCAGGTTGCGATTGTTGGGCTTGGTGGCGTTGGCAAAACGCAAATTGCGCTTGAATACGCGCATATCCTGCGAGAGCGACATGCGGACTGCGCAATATTTTGGATACCAGCCACTAGCATTGAGAGCATGCTGGAGGCTTATCTACAAATAGCAAGAGAGCTGCAAATCCCTTACGTCGGAAACGAAATTAACGGTATTCAGACTATAGTCCAACATCGACTGAGTCAAGAAAGCTCCGGTAAATGGCTACTGGTGTTAGACAATGCTGACGACACCTCCTTTTGGGCTGATGAAACCAAAGACACGGCTGGTTATAGCCTGCCAAAGAGTAAACATGGATCTATCCTTTTCACAACGAGGAGTCACAAAACAGCAGTCAAGTTAGTAGGGAGAAATATAGTCAAGGTCAAAGCGATGAATAACACACTAGCTAAGAATCTGCTCAGAAATACTTTGATCGACTGGAGCCTGCTAGCTGACGAACGAGCTAGCGCTGAATTGCTTCAGAAGCTTACATACTTGCCGCTCGCAATTGTTCAGGCAGCCGCATTCATCAATAAGAACCAAATGACGCTGTCCGAGTATATATCGCTCCATGATACCACTGAGGAGAGTACGATTGGCATGCTTAGTCAAGATTTCGAAGACGAAGGTAGATACGAGGATGGGAAGAACCCTATTGCGGCAACGTGGCTCATATCCTTTGAGCAAATCCAGGCTTCTGACACTTTAGCAGCGGAGTACTTGTCACTTATGGCCTGCGTTGAGCCAAAGAACATCCCGCGGATATATCTTCCTCTCACACATTTGGCAGCAGAGTCTGCTGATGCTCTTGGGACGCTGAAGGCTTTTTCGTTCATTGCAAGTCATGAAAATAGTCAGCTTTTGGATATCCATCGCCTTGTACACCTGGCGACGCGTAACTGGCTACGCATGCAGGGAACTCTCACGGAATGGACGGACAAAGCTCTGAGTCGCATGAATGTGCTTTTCCCAATTCCCAAAGATGAGAATCGACACATGTGGAGACTATTACTGCCACATGCTCGATATATTTTAGAGTCACTACCATGGAATAGTCCAACAAGCGCAGCGATACATCTATTGCACATCTTTGGATATGGTGCTCTAAGAGATGGAAGATACGAAGAAGCTCGAAGGGCTTTCAACACTGTTACAGATTTCAACAAAAGAAGCCTTGGCATCGAACATCCTGTGACATTGTCTACTCAGGCAGACTTGGCAAACGTATACTTCAGACAAGGGGAGTGGAGCAAAGCTGAGGAGTTGAGCATACAAACACTAGGCAGCCTGAAGAAGGTTGTTGGTATCGAGAGTTTGGTAACATTGACAAGCATGAGTGTACTTGTATCGATATACTGCGTTCAAGAGCGGTGGGCGAAGGCAGAGAAGTTAGAACAAGAGACCTTGAAAGCATACGAGAGTGTGCTTGGCGCAGAGCATCCGGAAACCCTGGCGAATAAGAGCTCTATAGCAAGGATTTATAAGGGAAAAGGAAATTGGAATAAAGCCAGGAAGCTCGACCTCCAGATATTGAAATGCCATAGGACAGCACTCGGCATGGATCATCCATTAACACTCACCAGCACTCGCCTCCTCGCAGAGGATTACGTCTACTTAGGGCTTCTAAGAAAGGCAGAAGCGCTGCAAAAGCAAGCAACAGAGACTTCCAAGCGAGTTCTTGGAGCAGAACATCCGGACACAATTTTTGCCACTGGTACCCTAGCCTCTATATATAGGGACAGAGGCCGCCTTGGAGATGCTGAGAAGTTACAGATATGGGTTTTGAAGAGTAGTCGAGAGGTTCTTGGTGCGGAACACCCTTATACTATATGGGCTATGGCCTCTCTGGCTGATACGTGGAGGAGAATGGGTCGGTATACTGAGGCGACGGACCTGCTGGAGAAGTGCTTGCAGTTGGAAATGAAAGTTCTAGGTGCTTATTACTCTGATACATTAAAACAGCGTCGTAAATTGCGCCGAGGCCAAATGCACCAGCAGGTGATTAGTGGGTGCACTCCAAGCTAGACGATGAGCAATATGCATTGAAGGCTGTCATTCATAATTTGTTCTATTCAGCGTAACTATGTCTGTCCTTTACCGCATGTACCAAAGTCCTCCTATTATTTTACTTCGTCCGTTGATACTCTCGATGGTATTATCCTGCTCTAGCCTTGGCTGACCAAAAAGATTATTAGGGCTATTGATCTGTCACGATAATCAATACCCGATAGGGTCTCCGCTCTCATAGCCGAAGGGGGAGTGGATCCATAACGCGATCAAAGATCAATCAAATGTGATATTTATAGACTAATGAATCGGTCCACAACACATGTCTTCAACAATTTCCCTTCCCTTATCGCTTCCCCGCAATTTCTTCTTTGTATCTCTGCCACGTAGAAGAAAATTAACCACCGTACACTCGGACCGGGGTAAGGACCTATATAAATCTATCATGCACTCAACTACCCGTCAATATGACTCGCTCGATGGGGCATCGACAACGGAATCCGACGTTGAGCCCGCCTTCCCAGATGAGGAACAACCTCTCCTATCTTCAGAGGTAGTCTGGAAACCACCAAAGGGCTTTCTCTGGATCCAGATCGGTATGGATCACTGCGAGCCGAAAGCACCTAGTCGCTAATGATTTTCCTAGCGATCATGTCCAACGTTTTCCTTTCTGGTTTCGACGGCACTATCACCGCTTCAACTTATGCCGTCATTAGTTCGGAATTTAACGCTGCCAATACCGCCTCATGGCTCACCACATCGTATCTAATTACTAGTACTGCTTTTCAACCTCTTTATGGTCGCTTTTCCGATATCTTTGGACGGCGTGCCTCCTTCTTTACGGCAACTATCACCTTCATGGTCGGTTGTATTGGCTGCGGCATTGCCAAGGATATCGTACTTCTCAATCTCATGAGAGCATTGACTGGAATCGGTGGGGGTGGTCTGATGACTATGGGTATGGTGGAATCATTTATTCGTTCAACAACATTGAACGCTAATATCGTTCAGCCACCATTGTCAATTCAGATCTGATCCCCTTCCGTCGTCGTGGCATGTACCAGGCCCTCCAAAATGTTATGCACGGTTTCGGTTCTATCTGTGGCGCATCCCTTGGAGGTTCAATTGTTGACACTATCGGGTGGCGATGGTGCTTTCTTATGCAGGCTCCCGTTGGACTGCTCGCACTAATCACAGGTCATCTGGTAATTCATCTTCCCAGGAAAACCGATCTTATCGAAACGGGTCAGGGCTTCAGAGCCATCTGGCGACGAATCGATCTCTCCGGTGCATGCGTTCTTATTCTAGGCCTCTCCAGTCAGTTGGTTGGATTAAGCTTGGGCGGAAACGACTTGCCCTGGTCTAACCTATGGGTGATTCTTTCACTCGTTACAAGTGTGATCCTTCTAGGTGCATTTGTGGTTATTGAAACAAAGACTTCCGCGATCCCGCTGATTCCTGCGAGAATGCTGCAAGGTCTCCTACCTATTGCTACCCAAGTCTCTAATGTCTGTGTCGGAATGGCGGCGTATGCAGTATGTAGAGTGGCGCCATTCTCGCAATTAGGGCTAACACAAGCAGTTTCTCTTTACCCTCCCATTGCTATTCCAAGTCATCCTCTTGGATTCTGCCGCGAAGGCCGGTGCGAGACTGGCGATTCCGTCGCTTGCGACCCCAGTGGGCGGTGTTATCTCCGGCATTGTCATGTCCCGTTGGGGAAAACTGGCCCAACTTGTACGTTTGGGCTCTTTGCTGATGTGCATCGGAAACTTGCTGGTGATGTCACTTCAATTCAACGACGCTGGCTGGAAGTACTTTACATACGTAATTCCAGCAAGCCTGGGGCAGGGGATCGTGTACCCGGGGATTCTGTTCACGTTCCTTGCCGCATTCGACCATTCCGGTACGCACAATACAATGTAGCATGTCTGATGCGCTGTTGGGCTAACAATTCATAGACCACGCTGTGTCGGCATCCACGGTGTACCTGGTACGCTCACTCGGCACCGTTTGGGGCGTGGCGATCACGTCCACGATTATACAAAATACATTGCGCTCAGGCCTCGCTGAGGCCTTGAGTGGAGTACCAGACAAATGGAAAGTAACATCCCTTTCTTTGCGAGTAGGGGCTAGTTGAGCGATAGCTGATCATTTTGTGGCACAAATTCAGATTATCGATGATATTCGACACTCGGTGTCGGCTATACATGACCTACCTCCGGACATTCAAATGGCCGCCAGACTAGTATATTACCGGGGCATCCGCTTGTCCTTTATGGCGTCGGCTTGCTTTGGGTTTGTGGCCACTATCGCTGCACTTTTCACTAAGGGCAAAGGGCTACACCGTGCGAATAATGCATAAGCCAATCTCAGAAGGCCAGATATATAGGGTTAGTGACCCTAGAATCATGAACTCAATACAGGAGGTGGAAATCGTAAAGGTAGGTTCGAAGGAAGTAGACGGAGCGGAATTTGGTGAGAGTGGGCAGGAATCTGGCATCGGAATTAGTTCCATACTGGAGACATATTAGGCATGAAGGGCAGCCTTATCAACAAAAAGCCTACCAGCAATAGAACCAGAGGTGCAATGAACTTTATGGCAGATTAGCCATACCAGAACTTGCTAGCAGTCATTAGTGATTGCAACTGTACTTTTGTTGATAGCAACGCTACATTTGCCATATTCAACGTCGTATCTATTCCGTAATGCGGATAAATCCCACTCCCAGGGAGCTGCACAGGTCCAATGGACAAACCTCAAGTACATACTAATGAACCTTATCCGGGGTTTGGAAATGCGGGGAAGCATCAACTAGGCTAAAATATCCTGGCTACGCTGCCCATCCTGCAGAGCTTCTTAAACGTCGATCCGCTATCAATTCCGCCGTCATTCCGCTATAGTCATGCATATAGGGGACCCGAAATCACTTCTGCCTGTCAAAGTGCAAGATAATGCAGTGTTGATAAACCGAGCTCGGAATTCGATAAGCGTTCCGATTATCGCTCACTATCTTGATAGGGTATGATATCGTTACTAACGCATGGCCAGAAACCCTAATGTCAACTCCATCCATTGCCTACCCCATTGGCCTAGCGTAGACAATATGGGGGAAATGTAATGACATATAACTACACTTTTAAACAATCATCTTACTTGACCATCTCACTTGACATAACAGTATGGGTAAACAGGACCTCAAACCCAACCATGACCTCTCCACTCCCTCTATCGAACTTTCCAACGGCCAAGTCGCCGTAACAGGCCTCCCCAATGCGCCGATGAAACAGAACTTTAGCATACTCAGCATCATCGCGGTAGGTTACAATATCTCCAACAGCTGGGTTGCCATCGCGGCCAGTTTCGCCATCGCCATACAGTCCGGCGGGGCTGTGACCTTGCTCTATGGGATCATTCTCGTTTCCGCTGTTATGCTCTGTACAGGCCTGACACTCGCTGAACTTGCAAGTGTCTATCCCACTGCAGGTGGGCAATATCATTTCACCTCGATCCTGGCTACAAGTCGTTGGAGCCGCAGTTTATCATATTCCAGTGGGCTGGCAGCAGTATTCTCATGGATTACGCTGAGTGCATCCATTGCATTATCGTCGGCCAATGTGCTCATGGCCATTATAATCCGGTGGCGGCCGGAATATGAACCTGAAACCTGGCATTATTTCCTTGTGTATCAAGCGATGAATGCTGTTATGGTTCTTTATAACATATTCCTCACGAACAAGACGCTGTGGGTCTATAATCTTGGTTGTATGTACTCGATGTCTATCCTCTCGCATGACCTACTTAATGATGAAGGCTAACGGAAGTAGTCCTCCTTTCGATATCTACTTTTCTTGCCATAACAGTTACCTGTCCCGCTCGCTCCTCTATCCAAATCGACTCGGCGCACGTCTGGACACAGTTTGCCAATGGATCCGGCGGCTGGCCAGATGGTATCTCCTTCTTGACGGGTCTTTCCACACCTCAATTCATGCTTTCCGGCCTCGACGCAACGCTCCATCTCGCTGAAGAATGTCTTCAACCGGAACGCATTGTTCCCAAAGCAGTTATTGTAACTGTAATCGTGGGGTTCTTGACCGCATTTCCCTTCTCTGTCGCCATAATCTACAGTTACAAGGATGTGGAGCTCTCCCTCACAACTCCAACTGGGTACGTCAGCCTCAAACTCCCTCCAGATCCACCACAACATAGCACCGGTCTAACATGAGCCAACAACCAGGTTTCCAATTTACTTCATTTGGGAAAAGGCCACACATTCCCCAGTAGCCGCGACAATCTTCATGGCCTGCATGCTCACCGTATCCTGTGTAGCACTAAACGCAGTACACCAAACCTCATCCCGACTAACATGGTCTTTTGCCCGAGACGAAGCGCTTTTCTACTCGCATAAGTTAGCCTCTGTTAGCCCTACTCTCGGGGTACCTGTATACGCGATCATTCTTGACGGACTGTGCGTTCTGCTACTGGGAGTTGTTTATGTTGCTTCTTCCAACGGTAAGAAAACTTTGCGCTCATCACATCGTGCATATGTTATACTGTGCCTTGCGTGTTAATACACCATTCAATAGCATTCAACGCCTTTATAAGCACCACAGTTGTCGTCGCGCAAATATCCTACGCCATCCCCGCTGCGCTTCTTCTGTACCGTCGTCGATCGACGGATTACCTCCCTCTATCGAGGCCATTCAAACTAACTAATACAATTGGGTACATTGTCAACATAGCAACGATTGTGTGGGCTGTTGTGTTGACCGTCTTTTTCTCGTTTCCAACTGTCTTGCCAGCTACAGGTCGGAATATGAGTATGTTGTGTTCCCTCGATATACCTTTCTACTCTTTGACGGGGAAGACCTGCTAATTGGTATTTTAGACTACACTTCTGTGGTACTTGTCGCAATGTTAGTTCTTGGGATCGTGAACTGGTTCGCATATGCACGGAAGCACTATCATGGGCCGAGATTAGAACTATGAGACTTTTCCTTTTTTATTTATTCTCTATGTGCCCGTCTTCCCTTTGTCTCCCCATTACGCTAGTTAATCCCAGCCTATTACTAGCCAAAGCGACTACTAGCCACAATTCAGGCGTTAACGTTATTATATAGACCCTTTCCGTTGGTCACATTGCTTCGATTCGGTCAACTCATTGGTGTGTACCTTGCTACCTCTGGGTGCATTTACTTTGTAGCCGTTTCGCGGCATTGCTACTGTGCTGATTTAGGGAACAGAAGTCTATAACTTAATTAAGTATACATGGCATGGCTTCCGAGCCACGTGAAAGGTGCCACTTTATTGATTACTGTTTCTACCTCGGGCAGATCAGTCGTTCGCAACGAATTTAATCATAAGCTTCTTTCCATAGCCTCTTACATGAGCATGTTTTAAGTTGTCTACTAAATAAATCCCCAGGCAACCACATACTCAATTTAGAACCCCATTTTTATACAGTCTGGAACCTACGTAAGACAATGTGCAAAAAGTTCTAGAACTCGTCAAGAATTCTGCAAGAGTGCTGCGCCTTCTGACAGATGTCATTGAAACTGGTTCTAGCATCAATTAGCCACTCTTTAATTAAAAACGACACGATGGCTGTGGCTTGTCTGCTCCGAAGTCTCCTATCAGGGGGAGGGTCTGCAGAAGTGGAAATGAAGGTGGCGCATGCAGGCCAATGGGAAGGATGTTGAGTGTTTGTTTGGCCAATGGGGGCGTGTAACTTCTAGTACTAGTGGAGGGACTTGGGTCCCGTCACTCTCTTTCGACGGGTCCCTGTAGGGCTGTGGCTGTGGTAAGGGGGCTGTGTAATAGCTACCGGTAGTACGGAGTATAGACTATGTAGTACTAGGAACTCAGCTCATTATGATAAATTGTATTGTCTGACGGGTTTGTGCTACGGGCTCTCTCAATTGCCGAGGATTGTTGTTGTTGATCCGGGAACTACTACGGAGTACCTACTAGTAGCAACAAACAAAAAAGGGGGCAATGGGGGGCCAGTCAGTGATAACAAAGTTTGCACGGCCAGGATTCGCACCAGCCCCAATGCGGAATGCCGGGAAAACAGGTGATGATGGTTTGAGGACAAGGCTATCAGGGTGGAAATATCGAATGCTTCCTAGTGGGTATACTATAATTGCTTAGTGATAAGAAAATTTCTTGGGTGAGAATTGCAAAGAAATTCTGGAAATTCGAATTCGGATTGGATTCCATCTTTAAGAGTGCAATCTGAGCCACCGGACGATCGGCTTCTCCTCTTTTCAATTCCATTCCCTATTTTGAATTTCTCCGCTTCGGACCAGTCGTCTGCTTTTCTCTCCCCCGTTGGTTCTTAATTCCACTTTTTTACTCTCTCTTTTCCTTTCCCCCCTTCAAGTTCTTGTCTCTTGTTCGACCCGTTCGTACTTGGCATTTCTTAGGTACCCTCTACCCCCTTTCATTGGCCCTTACCGTGCCCACGAGAGCCTCTTTTCCCCATCATCTTAATTTTCTTCTTCAACCGATTCCATCATTTGAAGCTTGGTCTGATCAGTCCATACTGACCGGTGCGACAATCGTTCTGCCCACAGATATCGATCATCATGAGTTACCAACAACAGCCCCCCTATCCTCCCCAGCCTGCGTAAGTACTCCAATGCTACCCAGTTTGTCTTACCCGTGTTTGCGACCGGCTTTGCGATATCTACTCAGGTAGTGTCGGAGGCTACGGCGTCGCAGTTGGCCAAGGCGCAGTTTTAAGAGTCTCGTCCGATGTCGTCCGATGTCATCCGTTGGTTTTGCCTTGGAATGGGCGGACCAGACGGAGGAGACTCGACACTTGCCCCTTCAAAGCCCTTTTACAATCCATTCTGACTCCCGTCCACTATGCAGCTACGGTCCTCCTCCCGGTAACTACGGACCTCCTCAGGGTGGCTACCCTCCCCAGCAGTACGGTGGTTACCCTCCTCAGGGTCCTCCCCCCGGACAATACGCACCTCAACCCCCCGTAAGCTACGACTCCGGACCGTCTCTCAGGGCGACAAGCTAACGATCGTACAACAGATGGGATACCCGCAGCAGCAACAACCTCAACAGCAGCAGAGTGGAGGAAAAGATCGCGGCTGCCTCACAGCTTGGTGAGTTCTCAATTGGATATTTGCATATGAGCAGTGCTGACTCTCAGGTTCCTTCCAGCTTGGCCACCCTTTGTTGCTGTTTCCTGTGCGAAGAGAGCTGCGAATGCTGTATGGAATGTATCGAATGCTGCGAAATGTGCTAAAGCTTCACGACCCGTATATGACCTCGATGATACGATAATACCTACCCATCGCGTGCCGGATAGCCGGTTGGGGTGAGGGCGCCGGAAGGCGCTGAAACTGCCGCGATTCGGCGTACAGCCCTTTTCGCTTATTTCACTTTCCTTTGACCTGTCGATCTGTCCTCCAAACGTCGTGGACCGTGCCGATTTTTATCAATCATGTTTACTTGGGGATAATGGCTTCCGAGACAAGGCGATGCTGGATTGGGGAAGATATCTGCTTTAGCTGGATGGCGCTTTCAGTTCGATAACCTTTTCATTTCTCGCGGATCGTTTTTTGTTTCCTTCTTGCATCGGTGTTTCTTCGAAGGGAGCATCGCTTTACGATCGATTGTCTTCGTGGATCGTTGAGTGCAAATTTCACCTGCAGTACGGAGATAGTCTTCAATTGGACCTTGATTTCTTCTTTTTACAATATATTTTGATCAGGAATCTTGCGCCCACTAGCTTTGAAGGGTAACTGTAGGTGATATTATGCGAAAGGTCAAAACGTCGTGATATCTGGAGACAAGAGCCACCTAGAGACTGGAAATTAGGGATGTTATGGGCTCATCCGATTGGCCACCCACACATCAACCTCGGCCTCTCGTCTTACTGTTCAGTTAGTACAGTCTCGCCTTCCTCGTCTATTATGATAGCGGGCTGGTAAGAAGTTTTAACGAGCCATTTGATCGGGTATTAGGATCGACCCCTGTTGTACACCGGCGAGCGAACCTTTCCTCAATGATAGATAGAGGAGCTTGGGATGCAAAGGCGGACGTAATCTTCTCAAGAGGCAAGCTCGAGGCCAATACCCATGATTGTTATTGAGAAAGGCCATGAGGAAAGTCAATCACTGAGAGATAAGTCGCCACTGGAAGAATATCGCGCATGGCTTTTCGGAGGCGATGGGAATGTCATTATCAGCGACACGTCATCGGACTGAACTTCCCAATGTCCTCAGACACATCTAAACTCGATGACAACATCAACCACTACCTCGTTTGAGGTCTCCAGATGTGCCGGGAAAGAGTGGTACTGTGTTAAATAGCCCGGATAAATGTCGGCAGAACCGCCAGGCATCAACATTAATTCACTGCAACCCTGGCGGCAATATTAGGGTGCGGTTGAAGACGGAAAAATAATCTCCGTGCAATGCAGCATCCTATGTCCAATTCTAGGCACTAGTGAGACGATCACGGCAACAATGATTTCTATGATGCGGGGGAACTCCGCATTTTTATCCCCTGCTGAATACATCATTCTTGAGTGCAATATACTGCAGAGATGTTTTCCTTGATTACAGCCATGAAGCTGAGAATATGTGATACTATGTATCCAAAGACTAAACATGCGATTGAGTTACAGGCCGTGGAGTCTAGAACCTTTGAAGATGCATGCCATCTCGATGGTCGCTCCTCGACATGCCATCATGCAATTTGGTAAAATGTCAACCCATCGTCGTGCATGAAGTTGTGACTTCATTGTCTACCTGCATACCCCTCAAGGACTTTTACCAGAAGCGGAAGCCTGGTTCCTCAATTCCTTAAACGCCATGGCCTACTCCACAGGAAATATTGTCCCTTAGCGAGGAGACTCTCTTCGGCATGTCCACGATTGCCGGGAAACGGTCCTTGTCGTGGAGTGGACTCCGCTGGGGTCGGGGATAGCAAACAGATATAAATTGTCTGGGGTTCACCGGCCGGGGTCAAGTACTGGACGGGAATAAGATCGGCAGAGTGCATATACCGATCACCCTCGTAGAGGAGAGCCAATATGCTACGCAAATGTTTCCTTCTGCCTCTCCTGGCAGCTTGCGGTGCAGCGGTTGAGATATCCGTTGCATCGTCTGGTGGTAATGCCACTAGCGGTTTGCAATATGGTATCATGGAAGAGGTAGGTTCCCCACAACGAGTGGGTTCGATCGGATATAGTGGCTGATTGTTATGTAGGAAATCAACTACTGTGGTGATGGGGGTCTCTATGCGGAGCTGATTCGCAATCGTGCGTTCCAGGGAGGCGAGAAATACCCTTCCACATTGGATGCTTGGATTCCAGTCGACGGATCGGCGCTGTCTCTAAAGAACCTCAGTCAACCCCTGTCATCTGCACTGCCCACATCGGTCAATGTCAAAGGAACGACAGGAAAGGCCGGCCTTACCAACTTGGGTTGGTGGGGTCTCGACGTAAGAGAGCAGACATATACCGGCTCCTTCTATGTGAAGGGTGCCTACAACGGAACATTCACAACTTCCCTGCAGTCCAATAAGACTGGCGAGGTATATGCCAGCGCTGTCATTGTGTCAAAGAGCGCTCGAGGCGAATGGACCCAGCATAACTTTACTTTGACCCCCACCAAGGCTGCCTCAAACACTGAGAATACGTTCTCTATTACCTTCGATGCTTCCGTGAGTGGATGCCCCAATGACCGGTAGATTAGCCGTTACTGACTGTGTAGAAAACGGTTGACGGCTCCCTTGACTTCAACCTTATCAGCCTGTTCCCTCCTACGTATAACGACCGTCCCAATGGACTTCGCAGAGATTTGATGCAAGCGATGGCCGACTTTGGACCTGTATGTCAACGTGCTTATATCTACTAGAAAGACAATGCTAACAAACTAGAAATTCCTGCGGTTCCCAGGTGGCAACAACCTCGAAGGTGATACCCTTGACGGCAGATGGAAATGGAACGAAACCATTGGGCCTCTCAAGGACCGCCCAGGCCGTGCAACAACCTGGTCATACCAAGAAACCCTCGGATTAGGTCTCGTCGAATACATGGAATGGTGTGAGGATCTTGGAGTCGAGCCCAGTAAGTCGTTCATCACCAATTTATGACCTTTCTGACAATTCCGCAGTCCTTGCAGTATGGGGTGGATTTGCACTGAACGGAGACGCAATCCCCGAGTCTGAGCTCGGTCTATACGTGCAAGATGCCCTAGACGAGCTAGAATTCCTCACTGGCTCCGTAGAAACCGAATATGGTGCCCTCCGCGCGTCCCTCGGCCATCCAGAACCATGGACAGTCAAGTATGTCGAAGTCGGTAACGAGGACAACCTAAACGAAGGGTTGGATTCATACAAATCCTACCGCTTCCAGACCTTCTACGACGCCATCAAGGAGAAGTACCCAGACATCACCGTCCTGGCATCCACTGTTGAAATCGACCTCCCCGGCGATGCCGGCGGTGACTATCACCTGTACGATACACCAGACAACTTTGTCGAGAAGTTCAACTTCTTCGACCAGTTCAGCCCCGACCATCCGATCCTCCTTGGTAAGCTTTGATCTAGACTACCTTGCCAAGCCAGTCACTGTTCTTTATTTGCTAATAATGGACTATGAACAGGCGAAATTGCAGCGATTCAGCTCAACGGGCGCGAAATCGTCTGGGGCGGCTCTGCCCATTTCTCACAGTACCCATGGTGGATCGGTAGCGTCGCAGAAGGAGTCTTCCTCATCGGTGCCGAAAGAAACGCCGACAAAGTCCTGGGAACGACATACGTAAGGACCATCTCTATACCCCCAGCCTCTAACGCTGTATTAAGATCATGAACCTAATGTACATCACAGGCCCCCTTCATGATGAACCTCGACAACTACCAATGGTCCCCTACCTTCCTCGCCTTCAACTCGAACCCCGATGAGACGGCGCGTTCGACCAGCTGGCACCTTTACGACGTAAGTATACACATATACACACATTGCCCTACCAGGGTTCAGGACATAAACTGACAAAAGAAAGCAGCTCTTCTCTCACAACTCCTTCACACACACCCTCCCCACCACATCAGATTCCAGCTTTGGACCTCTCTACTACGTCGCTGGTGTCGATAACACGAGCAACTCCCATATCTTCAAGGCGGCCGTATACAACAGCACCACCGACGTGCCCGTGTCTCTTACCTTTGACGGCGTCAAGGCCGGTACCAGTGCAAGCCTTACTGTGCTCACCGCCACGGATCCACTGGGCATGAACGAAGTGGGAATTGCTGATATTGTCGATAAGAAGACCTCCACCGTGACGGCGGGTGACAACGGCGTGTTTGATTTCAGTCTGCCCAATCTGAGTGTGGCTGTTTTGAAGACGGAGTAAGCGTGTACACGATGTACAGTCATTCGAACAAGATAGAATAGGATGGATGAATGAATGAATAAAGTATGCAAGGGCAACTTTGGAATAATAGTTTATATTTATACTGAAGATCCTCGAAAGCTGGGCTAGATTCTAACTTTTCATCACTTTTTTTTTCTTTTTTTTTTTACCTGTCCACTGGTGATAGTGTACCGTCGTTCCGTCAAGTTAATAGGCCGATGTGGTACATATCCGGCACAGTCTCAAAATCAGCACCTGTGCATAGAAAATCAACATGCTCGTATAATAACTAACCATAAATGGGAGCAAAAGGAACAGGTATTCTACCAGTGAAGTATTGTCATATTTCGTCGTGCGAAAGTGATATACCTGGTTGTCTGGTACAGTCGCCTTCTGAGGGGCTATGACAGGTGGACTACGAAAAAAAGAAAGGTAAATCTATCTACTGTAGAGGTACACAAATAGTTCAAACTAGATCACAAGCATTGTTTAAGTTCAGGATATCAAGTTCATTAAGTTTTAGTATCTTATAATTATATTTTGTGGTCGTTAGTAGTACACTTATCTGCAGAGTCAGTCTCGAATGGTATCCTTATGGAAACAAGCTCCTGAAAAAGGAGGTGAGGATTAAGTATTGTATAATTCAGTCCCCGAAAAGTATCATCACACAAGAAGTGAACTTAATATAGATACACCATGTGACTGATGTGGTGTTGCAAGTTAGTCCCGGGTTGCTGGTGAGGTACAAGGCATGTACTATAGTTCCCCGCCTCGGAGGATTCCAGAACCCTTCTCATTATTGTCACGGGTCATGTGAGAGGTCAGTGGTCATATCCATGTGAACTTGGTTGCAAACCAATCCAACCATGTCAGACCCATTCGATCTAAGGCAGTAGGATAACATGGTACCACCTCGAGGTAAGTGAAAGTACCACGAGAATCGCCCAACTTGTGCAGGGTATACACTGCCTTTGAAATCTACGCCCTGCATTTTCTCTCGGAGATAGTCAAGAGTAGGCTAATTAGTAGGAAAATGTCATATAAGTAGCTAGTTGCCACGGAGTAGCAGTTGTAGAAGTCGCGGCGCAGACTTTCCCTCCTATCCCTGTTAGGGACCAAAATGGGTTTCCGTCGCTTTCGAGTATGATCTCCAATTGAATGTATTGTTAAACTTTGAGTCTGGCTGATGTCACTGTTCATCATCACACATTATGTCGTATCGCCCGGTGGGCTTCATAGAGGTCCGGGTTATCTCCCACTGCAGTCTCGAAAAAAAGAGAATCCAAAAAGAAAGGAGAATAAAAGAAAAAGTGAAGAATGTAATGGTGAAAGAAGAAGATAAAGTGGCTGTAAGAAGAAGAGAGAGAAAGAAAAAGAAGTTTGAAGAAACCAGGAATCAAAGAAAAAGCCGAAGAAATGATGATGTGAGAAGATTATGTGGTGAAGCAATATAAGACAGCTCCTCAGGGGAGAAGAATAGAGTAAAAATGGACAGGAAATTGTCAAAAAAATATATCAACAAGAAGTGCGCGAAATCATCAGAAATCTAGCGAAGAAAAACGTAAAGTCACACATACGAGTCGATCTCAGGAACTAAAGGCTGAGCATCGAGAAAACATGTCGCATCAAGCGATGGTTCCAGCCCCATCACAGGAAAGGTAGACAATGTATCATACCCATTCGTCAATGTTGACCCCAGCCCTGGGACTGGAAAGTCTTCGGGGGAGATTGTGGGCAACCCATTCATCATATCCTCTGCAGAAACAGGGGGTGGTGCCGCAACTAGATCATCACCTAGTGCTTCCTGGTCAATAAAATTTTGAGCGTTCTCAAGAACTACTTCCTCCTTCTGCACCATCCAGTGCTTAAGGACCTCCATCGGTGGGTGATTGCCACCGCCCTTGCCACCGCGCTTCTCACTATCTTTCCCACGTCCGCCCCTGCCACGCTGGCAGGGGTTGAAATGGGTCCGACGCAAGTGAGCGGCAGCGTTGTAGTTAGCACCATATCGCTTTCCATTCCGGCAAGCTTTGCAGTTGGCCAAGAAAGTCTTTCCAGGAGAGATATCAACACAGACCCAAACTTTGCGAACCACGGCGTGGACCCGCTCAATGTGACGTCGCAGCTCGTGCTCCCCGTGGAAGCCATCAGGCTGGTCGTTGCACATAGTGCAATACGTCTTTTGGCGCGGGGGCCGCTGGATCGAGGCCTTAGGAATGGCTGCGACCTCTTTGGAAGTCCCATCAGAAGATGAGATACGTATCATCTTAGTCTGCTCAGTCGCCTTAGGAGGAGACATGCTCTGCGATTCCACTTTTGGAGCAATGGGTCTGGCGCCCTGAACAATTTGTTCCTGAGTCCTCCGAGCCGCCCTTGAGGGTTGAGACAGAGACGAGCTGCTACTATCGGAAGACATGGAATGCTTCATCTCTGTTGCCGGGGACGAAGAAAAAGTGGACACGGGTGGTGCAAAGGATGTAGCAGGGGGGGCAGAGCAAGAGAAGGCTGGGGCGGAATATTCAGTTAAAGGGAACGAGACATGATCCATGTCGCGCTGTGCGGATGTGAAGGGGTTGGTAAACGGAACGTTCATAGGGGACGTGGAGGGAATGAAGTCTGAGGATGGAAAAGGAAACGAGCAGTTTGGATTGAGATGTGGTCCGGAAGAATCAAATCTCATCATTCCCATACCTCCGCACAGTGAGTCGGTAGTAGGGGTTCTACTCATCTCCACTGCGGCCGACACCGGTTGGGCCGGTTGGTCAACCAAAGGTGGATTCCCTAGACCAGTCAGGTTGGGAACCAGATCCGATTGTCCATGATATTGTGGGACGAAGGATGGATTCGAGGGCTGGGCTCCAGTCGCCGTGGTATCCGTAGAAAGCGCCATCGAAAGTGCGGAGACTCCGCCTTGGGCCTGGTAGTCATCCAAGTATTGCTTTGCATATTCGGACGGGGAATATTCGTTGACGTGGTCAAGGCGGCGATGGATGCGCTGGGGTCCATAGGAGTGTCGATGTCCCGTTACGGGGGAGGCCAGCGAAGGTCGATGGGAGACCGGAGTCTGTTGACTCTGCGAGCGGACCATGGCCGTGTGCCGGGAGGGACCCAAGCCGGAGTAGTTCTCCTTCCGAGAATTCGATCTAGATAGTTTCCGGACCGTCTGAGGAGCAGCTGGCGAGGACGCATGCGACAAATCGCGCGTCAAGTCAACGGTCACCGGAGGTTCCGGAGTCTGCCAAGTGTCAATCCAGGGACTGTTGGCGGGAGAGCAGAGATGAAAGTGAGAAAGGATGGAGTAGCGCAACAGGAACACAGGATGGGTTAAGAACGGAGAGGTGGAAAACAGGCGGGAGCAGAAGACCAAGATAGATCACATACGGTGACTCGTCGTTTCGTCGGAGGAAGACCAGAACCAGGTAGAGTCCGCGGAGTATCCTGTCGAGTCCGTTTCCCAGATTTCTCGAGAGATGAACCACCATTGTCAAGGATACCAGAGCCAGAAACCGGGCGGTAGCTGGGGGAAGATACTGCGGCCGCGGCGGGCATGAACTGATTTAACTGTTGACTCCAAAGTTCGTTGCGCTCTGGTTCCGAGAGGTGAGAATGCCGATCCAAGAAAGCGTCCCGATACCCAGAGATGGCCCTTTTGAAAAGTTCCTCATCGGCCATGTTGACAGCCATATTGGAAAGATATCCTCTTTTGAGTGTTGCCGTCTCTCACGTGAGATGAGGCAGGAAAAGAGCTGCTATCAGTACCAAATGACTCTGGGGGTGTAAGAGGGGTAGTTCTCTATCGAGTCGTGAGATCAGTCAGTGTTTAATGAAAAGGAGAAATCGATAACTCAGAACAAGTGGATAGAAAAGACTGACTGGTAAATCAAGACTGATCCCGTGATGTGTCGTGCGGAATCGGCGAATTTGATGGAGTAAAGAGAGGGGGGTAGTGTGATGTGGTATGCGATAAGGAGATAAGGAGAAGGAGAGATCAGGAAGTATAGGAAGTAAGAAGACAAAGTTTCGGATGTAGTGCGGTTGAGAAGATGGAGATGGAGGGAAGGAGGAAAGGATGTGATAGATATAGGGGCTCTGATAGTTGGAGCAAGTATCAAGATATATGTGATGTGACAGACGATCGATAGTTGGAGAAGTTTGAGAGGAGGGAGGTGAGGGAGATATCAATTTAAGAATTGAGCCCAAAGCTCTCCACAGCCCGGCTTGATCAAATGGTCCGGACTACGGAGTACAATGGATGACTGAGATGGGGGAAAGGGGGGTGTGGATTTGATGGTGTATGGAGAGGTAGGTCGTAGTCGCAGTGTGAGAGCAAAAAGTCCGTCAGAGAGCAGTAGTTCATGGCAAGTTTGAAACCAGCCGGGGCGGGGATGAGACTCCATGAGATGAAGGGAAAGATTGGCCAGTGCCAGCCTGCACTAAGGCAGGAATGGCAGTGTGGACCGGGGGGCATGAGAATGATCATGGATGGGCAGAAGGGTTGACAGAGAAGAGGGTCTGGACTCTAGAACCGTTCTGTCGACCGTCCGGGGTGGGCAATAGTGGCCAAATGGAATTATTTGGTTTGGATTTTTTTTTTTTGTTTTATTTTTTTTATGGATTATTTAACTGTTCCATGATTTTCAGGTTTATTTTAATTTTTATTATAATTCATATTTTTAATTATTTAATTACTCATTCCCTCCTATTCCTCTTTTTGGGCAGCCCAGTGTTTACCTAAAATTAACGTAGGATTCAATTCGTATCCTAGTTATAATGATTCGATTCTTGTTCAACTTTTTCTTTATTGTTTTTAATTGATTATTTCCTTTTCCCTGGTGATTGGAGAGAGCACTAGTACAAATCTATCTATGGGGCAGTCCAAGCCTGGGGCAACAACGCAACAATAAAAAAGAAAACTTAGATGAGGAACCAAAAAGAAGTATTAAATAAAATAAATAATAAATAATAAATAATAAGCAGAAACAGTGAGCGAGCAGAGAGAACATCGTCATCGTCAATCAACTAACTAAAACCACGTTAGCGTAAAGAAAGCCAGAAATTGCCCGGAAAAGAGAAAAGGGTAGGGTAACACGCTGACTGGTCAAACGCAGCTTGATTCTCTCAGACCAGACGGACGGTTATCATGGGACAAGTAAGATACCCCCATGGCTTAGATGGATAACGAGTCAGAGAAGGACGACATGCGAGCCCCGAAGTGAGGCAGCGAAACGGATTGCGCCGACGCACAGCCGGTCCAGCAAGAGAACAGATCAGTAGGATGTGTTGGATGATCAGTCATCAGGACTACTTTTATTAGCACATCCCTAGAAGGTTAGGTTGTAGGACAGACTACCTAACCCACTATGGACTAAGGTCAGTCAATCCAGGTTAGTACCCTAGATCAGTTGGGTTAAGCGTGAGTGCAATGCTCCGTACTAAGTACGGAGAGAGAAGGTAATGGGGTTCCAGTTCAGTATTCCCGTTACCTCCCTAAGGGCGCCTACAGCGGGAAAGCCTTAGGAACATTCGGTACCAGTGTTACGTACCCTAAAATACCCTTTTATCGGCCGTGTCAAGGAAAAGTCCATGAGACGCAGCGCTCCGTTCGCTGTACAACTTGACCAACTGCTCCTCACACCCACATCTCTTGATTTTTCGGCCCTGTTAGTCGTCCTCATCGCTACCTCTGTTGTGACGTACAGCCCATTCGGGTCCCAGCTAAATTTCCCCCATCGACTGGATGTGTGCCACGTCGTTTAGCTTACACTTACTTTGGCTCTCTCGTCCCCTAATCAATGAGGTGTCCTTTTTGGGTCAGTCGCTTTTTCACTATCAGTTCATGGTGAACCGATCATGAGATAGCCGATTTAAAGGTTAAACCCACCATTATCGTAGGAATGAAGAACCCGATCTTTATCGGTCCCAAACCGTTTGTCGCATTTGCAAGGTCCAGGTACGGAGTATAGGAGTGTTCCCGCTACAAAATAGAATACTGGGCTCTATCGCCCGGAAGACCAATCCGTGCAATCAGAATTTGGGTAGCAACAGATACGCGCCACGTTCTGGCTTGACCACCAGAAGATGTTCTTTTCGTATCTTTTTCGGCTTGACACGTAAAGGTTCCCAAGTTGTATAGCTATTACTCAACAATGGTCGCAAGTGACAGTAAACTACTCCCCGAAGTTGAGCAATCCCATGGTACGCGTGCGGGAGGTTCCCAAGGTTCCGTGTAGAATTTCTATATCCGAGGTGGTTGCGGGTATACGTACGTAATCTGAGTTCTCCTGATTTTTCCTCTCGTCGGAGGGATGTTTTCGTTCTTCTTTCGGCTTCTGAGTTCTGCGATGGCTCCGCCTCTATTGTCTGCGGTGACCGGACGATCTCGAGACTATCGACGAACGAACGATCGATCATTTGGCGAAGGATATAGTGGGGCTCCTCCGACTGCCCAACATGGTACATGATATTATCACGTGCGTCACGTGATAACGGGTGCCAACCAGGTCCTCAGGCAGAAGGTCACGGCAGTCGCGGGTGAACACAACAGATGAAAGTGGAGTACTACTAGGTAGACTACTAGTACTGCTAGTAGTAGCAAGTACTCCGTACAGGTTGGTAGATACCGTAGGCGCTTCGCTATCCATCATACCAGTACTCATCGTCAGACCAATTACCTATACCCGACCACGATAATGACTAACCGATGCAGTTTCAAGAGTGCCCCTCCCACGATCATGCAGTGGTCGCTGCGATACCAGCGGTCAGGGAAAAAACCCCAGCCCACCGTTGTTTCATCTGTACAGAACCCGACATCCACCGCCAATCCACAGCGTAAGTCACCGCTTTTTTGCGTCTTGGTATATCCATTCTTAGTAGCCAATACTATGTGCCAACCTGTGTGACTCAGTCTCATCACATACCCGATTTGGCTCTCGTTTGTTCCTTAGCCATGTAAAATCTCCTCATTATTCATACCGTCAGACTCAATGCACTCTAGAAGGAGTCTACGGACACTCGGACCAGGTCTGTACCTGAATTGCTGTTCACCGGCTTTAGAAACGTCTACCCCTCTATGACGAAATATTCGAGAAAACCACGGCAGCCTCTTAGTTACTGCTCCACTCCGTTTAATGAGTTTTTTTTTTCTGCCAATATTTGAGTAGTACCCTGAATGATCGAGTCACTATTCCGAGGTGGGGGTTCATCCATCTCTGACCGGATGAATTTTCACAGGGAAACAAAATTCTCATTATTCTCCGGTAACCCGACGCTTTCCCCTCCCACTGATTAGTCGTTTTCGTTTAGAAGATTGATAGCCAATACGCTATTATCCAATACATCCATAACAACCCAATCGCCCAACAACAAGCTCGAGAAAGGGAGGAAGGGGGAGAGACATGTAAGGTACAAACAAATCTCATGATGGTATGCTGTCCAAGACATACCCGGTCACAATATCGCAAAAATAGCCCCTCCAGCGCTATTCGTCCTTCTAGAAATGTCGGGGCATGCCCTTGAAGGGGGAAGAATCCTTTCATCTGACAAATAGACGATCGACGTGACTATAGTGGAACCCAGGGATCGCCATCTGTCCCTGTCGCAGTCAAATGATAGGGCCAGGATCTCTGAGTGTTGATGCACTAGTATTCGCTATCTGTGATTTTATGCATCTACACCTACACAGGCAGGTACCAATCCTGGACCGTCCCGCGTCGGTAGTGACGAGCGAAACACAAGGAACCTTCTTAGAAGCTGTTTACGGAGGGGTAAACAAGAAGAGCAAGGTAGATGGAGACCCGAGGTGTACTACGTTATGAAGCACTCCACTTCGGAAACTCTGAGGTTACACTCTGTCGAGAGAAGATACCAGCAGTAAATGTACATACTGGACACATCCAACTGCCTAATGCGATTAGGTGCCTCAGGTGCTGATTCATGAGCCAGAGAGGTGCAGTGTGATCTGATTTCGTATTTTGTGCTCATTGGTGGAACCTAGGTCCATATGATGGGATCAATATACCTACCTAAGAAGTAGATGATTGGTACAATGACCTAGAGACAATCAGTGCGTAGGACTTTCTCCAGACAATGCGTAAACGCTCGGATACCGATCGACCTAAACAAGAAAGCAGGTAGCAGCACCATCATTCCCTCAGAAAGCTGAACCTACGACAGCAAATCATTCTCCAGTGCCCAATACCAGTCTCTGCCTTACTCTGATCCCTGCAGACGGCGAGTGAGTCAAAGACTGCTCAAACATCGGATTCAGACTCCGTAGGCGTGTGAGAACATCTCGAATGCAAGAGCTCTCGAGAACCCATGCAAAAAGCTGTCTGTGCCTGGCCAGGCTCGGCGACGCCCCATGCTGACCACCATGTCGGATACCTACTACACGCTCTTTTGCAGCCATCTTCATGCTTAGCAGCTTCGTTAAGGTTCCGAGACGCAAGCCTGCCCGTTTCAAGTGGCACAACGTTTTTCACTTGGATGCTTATGGCTACATTTGGAAATCTGCTACCTTGCACTTGGGTATCTCGGGCGAGCGCCTCAGTCAGCCACTTCCACTGCGCCAGGTTTATCTGGTTCTTGTGGTGCTGGTAAGGCACAGAACAATTCAGCCATAACTCCTACAGTTCTCTGGACAGTATATCGGCCGATGACGCGTCAACCCATGTTGGCAGCCTTGATTCTTCTCCGAGCAGAGAAAGCCTTGGGCTGGACAAGGTTTCAGAAATCAGAGGGATCGTGTCTGATCACGTAGACCTTGATTTATTAATGGATTAGGATGATAGGGTGCGCTCAGGCCTTATGCCAAAACCTAGATTGATCGGTTGTCAACGGAACATCCTCCGTCAGAGTGCCAGCCTTGTGGCCTGACATCAAAAGCGACAGAATTGCAGCATCGAGCCACTTTGGAGGTGAAAATAGAGAGCCCAGTAAAAGCTCAGAGGAGAGGCGAGGAAATCATGCCAGGTAGGCACAAATGCGAAAGACATGCGAAGATAGTATCATCGCCATGAGTTGTCGTTGTTGATGGTATGTATGTAAAAGAAACCCGAATCATGACCCCGCAGGTCATGTGCGAAGACGGACAGAAGGTCAAAGTCACAACCTCAGTCGGTTGAACTTGCAGGTCAGTAAGTATCTACCTGCCTAGTATTACTAGTAGTAGGAATGTTCAATGACCGGCACGGCAGAGATTACATCATTTATTTACTTTAGTGGTTGTCATCATGATATTCAGAACCACATTCCCCTCAGAATGCATAATATTCAGAAAACCTCCATTCGGATCATTGTTTAACTTTTGTTTCTTGCCAAAAAGCCCTCCGAACTCCTCTACGGCCACGGCAATCTTACAGGAAATTAATGACAGCAAATCATGTACTCAACGTCCGAAAATATAAGGAGGTTAACCACTAGACTAGGGCCCGAGATTTCTCCGCGAACCGTTTAACACCTCGGCGCTCTCAACCCGTTACCCATTGAGGAATTTAACGGCTGACTCCTAAATTTAGCGTGCTCGGAGATTACCTTTTGAATAGTTACCAGTCTAAGCTTCGGATTGCAAGTGTACCAGAATATCAGGTTGGAACTATGTGACCAAGTGCAAAGTAGACCCCTGCACATGAGCTCGTACTGCACTTTCCTTCTGTGTCGTGTGGATCAATCCGTTCGTCGGCTCCTAGAGTGATCACAGTCAACTACCCCTATTCTAAAGCACACTATATGGCGTCGGTGAGCCATGCTAAAAAGTACCACAGATAATGAACCACAGGGTAGGGCCACCGGATCTGGTAAGTTAGCATTGTCTGTGGCATCTTGCCAACAACCCTCTTCTCCAACGTGTTATTCGACTACACGAAGCGCGGTATACTATACAACCAGCCTGCATTTATCACCGCTTGGGGTACTATCATTGGCACTGGAGCTAATTTCCACTTGGGATTATCATTCAAATACTTCCAGCTCCAGATGAAAGAAATAGCAAGAAGGGGTAAAGGCGGACGGAGACAAAGAATAGGGTTAGGCTTGCGAAAATATGTGAACGCTAGCTATTGTATATAGTCGCAACCCTTAACCCAGCTATTTAAATGAGTAACAAAAGATGGAAAGTGGACATTATATCCATCCAAATTACGGAACATTCTCAACATCCTTAAACATATGTAGTTGTGAGTTCCCTCCTCATAGCCAAATGTGAAAACACTCTCCAAACATAGAACATATTCTCTCTAGTCATTGAAGTACAACGGAGCAAGGCAGTATCTTAAGAGTCATGATCAACCCAAGAACCGGCAAATGTAACAGTCCTATTCAGTCACCATCTCTAAGTATACAAAGATAACTTACCGTCGACTTCGCAGCGGTGAAGTCCGCATACATTATTTTATGAGCTAGTTATCGCATGTCGCTGCGTTCTTTATCGATGCCTGAACCAAGAAATCCAATGTTGAAAGCTTCAACTGATTACAATACATTCAGCTCAAACTTCACTAGTCCAGAGTCACTCTCTTCCCAACACAGGTGATGGGTACTGAATATTAAGTGGTCACTAGATCTACACTACACATGATCAGACATGATGATCTCTTCTTATCTTTACTTCTATATTACCCCCACTATACGTTTTCTCAACCTGGGATATAGCGCACTTGCTCAAAGTCAAATATTAGCTGTTTGACACATGGCTTTCATTGTCTATTATCTTGGATAATATGCAGTGACACCAATAGCCTCCATACTATACATGGCTAGAGCCCAAAGGCTTCAGCAAGCTATCAAAGACGTAACGGCCCGACTATATTCATCGGAGCGCATAGAGCATAGCCTTGCCCGAGTCAAACATTCAATCAAGGACCTCCGACCAATAGCCCATCATTCAATGACGACTGTCTATGCATAACATACCAGGTATTTGGGTAGAGCACAGTCATGCCAGCGGTTTATTATACCTTTATGTTGGTAAATGGTTTCTTCTGAGTTCCCAGAGTAGTTCTTGCGCTAAAACATTTGGAAGAGTTTGTTTAGATGTGTGTCGATAGGAGTCTATCATCTGACGAAAAGAATATGGACCAGTCCTTTGCAAGATTGAGATTGATACTGAAGCTGAGGCCTACGCTGTTGAGAATAAATGACTAGTATAGGTAACTAATAGCTCTTGTCTAAGTAATGAATGTAAATTATATGTAGGTAAACTTTTTATATTTGAGAGACCGCTAGAGACAAAACCACACAAGGAGAATACATATGTGTTATACTGGAATTCGTTATAGCGGATCCATACATCATGTCCTCCAAAAATATATATTCGGAGGTAAATTGTGCATACGGCAGGAAAACTATACCAACGATCCATCATCCAGCATTTAAAACTTCGGAATACTTTCCCACAAGCCTATAATAGACACAAGCCATTTATTCAGCAGTGACCTCAAAACTACCGTTGAGAACTTGGTTTCTGGAAGTGGGAAAGGGCCCAGCTGACGTCAGGTTGCCACTTTCGGGGCCCATTTATTCCCAAACGGCGGGTAGAGTGACTGGAGGCAAAGGGACACTGACATAAGAAGGCTGCTGGTCTTTATTTAATAACTATATCCCCTGCTCCAACCTATTCTCTCTGTTTTTCCTCTTTTTCCCGTGCTAGCTGAGTGGATGAGAGATATATCACCTGTAATATTTCCATATCCGGCACCTCGCCTACACGTGACTTCGCGTGGGCGGTCAACAGCCACGTCATAATCCGTTGCAGAAAACGAGTCCAATTAATTGGAGGGGCTTCTTGGAGAAAGAAGAGAAACACCGGTGGAACGTGCTTCATGTTCCACCCCTATGCTACTTTTCATCGTTCCCCCTGAATGAATATCACTATCTCCTCACTGAATCGTGAGCAACCTTAGTCCTTCGATCTAGAGGGCACTTCTTTTCTTTTTATATTTTCCGATTACACTTCGCCATGTCCGATTCGACCCTTTATCTTTACACCTCCCTTACTGCGGGGTCGTCCCATATCGTCACCGCTACTGCACGATTGGAGACGATCCTCAAAGCCAACAAACTCCCTTTCCGCGCAATTGATGTAGCCACCGATGACGCAGCCCGGAAGCTTTGGGGTCGTCGCTCCAAGGGTAGGAAGTTGCCGGGCCTGGTGAAGTTTGGCACAGTCGTCGGTGTAAGTGGCCCCCTCCTTTCTTATATATGTCGTGGAATCTAGTTGCCGGGTGGTGATAAGTGAGGATCATGTATGGCTGACGATTCTGGAAACGGCACAGGACCTGGAAGAGATCGAAGAATGGAACGAATATGGTGAGCTGAGAATGCAGGTCAACAGCGTCCAAGATTTTGGTGATAGTATCCCTGCTACGCGCACCGTAATCGCCCAGCCTGAGTCCGGATCTGCTGTATCGACACCCGCCTCAGAACCTTCGGTACCAAAGCAGAGTACCATCAAGATCCAAAACCCGCCCGCAAAGGAATCCCAGAAAGACGACTCCATCACGGTCGCTCTGCGCCAGGCTAGCGAGGAGGCCGCCGCCAAAGCTAAAGAGAGCAAGGCTGAGAAGGTGACTCCAGCTGCTGAGCAGAAGCAGCCCCTCCCTGCAGCCGTCGAGGAGAAAAAGGAAGGAGGCGCAGATAGTGTACGTCGGAAATCATCGGTTGCTCCCGAGATCGTCGAGGGGGGCAACCCAAAGCGGCCACCTCTGGTGCCAGAGGTTGCCGCGGTGTCCTCTGCCAATTTTCATGCTGATAATGCCGAAGCACTAGGATTAGTTGAACATCATCGTGGCTCCATCGTTTCTGCCACGTCCCCGGAGGAAAAAGCCAAGGTCGCTCAGGATATTCGTAAGTCGATTTCTGGCGGTCATGCGGAGATGTTGGAGTCGTTGCGCGACGACCAGGCGCAGAAAGCTGGTCAGGAGGAAACCGTTGATGAAGAGTCGGAAAGTGGCGAGGATGTCGAGGATGCTATGAATCGAAAGGCAAAGAAATCAGGTTCCAGTTGAACGGCCCATGATAGGTCTTCGTTGGACTCCCGCAGATTGCTTTATGATACGATGGACACGCCCGGCATTACTTTTACTAGCCCTCTTACTTTCTGTTTTCTTTTTTTTTCTTTTTCTACTACCCTGTAAAGATACCAGCGCATTAATATCAGTCATTTTTAATTTACATTTCGTGAATATCAAAGATTTGAGTAGTTCTTATTCATCCTTCAGCCGTATTTACTAGTCTATGCAACACATCTCTAGGTACATACTCCAAACCCGATGTATCGGATATTACCGTATACCAATCCTTGCCCACCTTTTAAACCATCACATGGCCTAAAGCCAAGACGAAAACGGAGATCAACAAAGTCCCAAGGTGAGGAGAAGAAGAAAAATGGGTTAAAAGAAAATGAAAGAAAACGATTACGGGCGATGCGCGATTAAAATATCGTGTCACATGAAATATATAGTAAGAAGAAATTACTTTTCAAAGCTTGTGGTGTTTGTTAACAGCTTCGCGAAGCTTTGCGATGACGTCGGCAGGATCCTGGGCACCAAACACCGCCGAACCAGCGACAATCACATTGGCTCCTGCTTCAGCGGCCTGGTCCACCGTCCCGAGCCCCAGTCCGCCATCAACCTCGATGTTCAAATTAGGATATCGCTCACGGAGAGCCTGCACCTTGGGCAGCTCAGAGGCCATGAATTTCTGGCCGCCAAAGCCGGGGTACACGGTCATGACGAGGACCATCTGTGGAAAAAAGGGCCGTTCAGCATGGATTAAGCCACTAGGGGGAGTTGTTGCGAGGGTTTCTTTTATGTAAGAATGATGTCACTTACATCTGGGCGTTCTTTCTCATTTTCGTTCTCGAGAATTTCCCACAGTACATCCACCGGTGTGTCTGGCTTGATAGCAATACCGGCTTGCATGCCCTCCTCGTGGATGTAACGGATCAATTCCTTCGGGCTCGTCTTGCGAGTGGTTGTTGAGTCGGCAGGCTCGGTCGCTGCGACGGAAGCTACGGCGGCTTCGTAGTGGAAACAGTAGAGGTCGCATCCGGCGTTCTTGAACTCCTTGACCCATTTATGTGGCTAGTTGTAAACATGGTACGGTCAGCCAGGCGCTCTTCGAAGTTGTACGGAATGATCGGAAAGCTTAAAATATGATGTGCGAAAACGGCGCAGGTTGGTGAAGGCTCAGGAGCAGGTGTCTCTCACCTCCATGATCATCATATGGCAGTCAAAGGTGCCCGGCCGTGGGGTTGGGTTGGACGGTCGACATGAGACCGGATCTTGGTGACAACGGGAGCTCCAAAGGTGATGTTAGGGACGAAGTGGCCGTCCATGATGTCGACATGGAGCCAGTCTGAGCCCTGGGCCATCTTCGTTGAGCATTCGCTTCCCAGGGTCGCGAAATCCGCGCTCAAGATGGACGGGGCAATGATCGCCGGCGGGGACATGATGTCTGAAAATCTCAGGAGCTTGTATGAAAGAAAGGAAGCAATTGACGGGTATGGCGGGGCGATGGTCAATGGAAAGGATAAGCTTCAGGGGACGATGGGGAGAAGACAGGTTATATACCTGTATCCGGAAAGGACTGTGTGGACAGCACAGGTATGGAGAAAGAGTGGATATGTGTACTCCATCAGAGGGCAGGCAAATGCCCATTAAAAAAAATTAATCACCGGCCATTGATATCACCGCCATTTACCGGTCGACGTCACTCCGAACAGCCAAATCGGGCAAGTTGGATGCTGGTGATAAGGGCTAGGGCCAAGACTTTCACGTGGGATGCTCGGTGCGGCTGCATTAGGGGGAGCTTCGATGCCTGAACGGGGGTCGAGACTCAGGCCTGAACGGGATCACGGGAACCGGCTTCCCACCAAACTGAGATGCCGTCGACCACTTTGGTGCTTTATTGGTAATCTCTCGACTTTGACTTGGATTAGTGCCAGTTCACCCTCGGCGGCCTAATTTCCGATGAATTGGTCGGCTGACCTGGTCGTACACCCTTACTAGTCAACCAGTAGTTAAGCTGGTTGGGAACGGAATGACCACTTTTGTCTTTCCAGAGACTGGCTGGTGATGAAGACAATGTCCGACAACCATACTTGCTACCTAACCGTCATTAATTAACCGCCTTTCCAAAATAACGTTGGGTGGGGAAGCCACGATCTACTGATTAATCAGAAAACCCCTCGATAGAAGTTCTAAAGATAGACCACCCGGCGCTTGTTGTTCACCAATCACACTCACCTCAACTTCCAGTCACAAAGCATCATTCGTCGAGAGCCGTTCTCTGCACGCGCCCCCCACCTATTGGTGTGATATCTGTCCAGCGTGCTGGATGTCACTTCTGTTGTACCTCTCAGAGTGCTGGAAGACCTTCAGGAGCGAAGCGCCGTCTTTACAGCAACCAATGGTAGCCTTTCTGTAATGTTTATTTCCAAGGATTCCCGGCTTGTCGTGCGCAATATTGCAGTAGTTTCTGCACAGATGATGGTTGGTGTGGACGGCGTCTCCAGATCTTCCCCTCTTCTCCCTCAGACCTGGGTGTATTTATCAGAGCCATGCGCCACGGATCGATCGTGATCTTCACCTACTTCTTTGTGGTCATTTTACCTTAATTTTCTTTTTCCTTGTTGTTGGCTTTGAACATTTGTGCCTTCGGCTCTGTGAGCTAGGCCGTCCTTCGTTGTATCCTTTGCTTGCGCTGGTGGACCCGTTGATCGGTGTCGAACGCAGTTGAAATAATATACCCTTAGAACGTTTCATTTTGGACAACTTCGGCTTATGTCGTAATTCCTTATTCGTTCTCGAAGAAAAAGAAAAGAACAACGCATAGGGCAACATGACTGAGTCATTGCGCTCTGCAACTGCCAGATGTCCGCCTCCTCGGCAGGCCCGAGGGACAAGGCTTAATACCATAATTGAGGATTCTCGCGAGGGAGAATACTCGGAAACACCGCATTGCCGAGAAGCTCGCCCAAACAAGAATACTTCTCAGCCACAGTTAAGATTGAAGACTAGTGGTCTGGCGCTGGCGTCTAGACTAAATCGTCTGCTGTCTCCCTTTTCTGCTGGAACTACCTCCTCTTGCTCGGATACCGAATGGCAAAATCAAATGCAAACATTTGATGATCTGTATGATGCAACCGACGAGGAGTCGGAGATGAGTGATGAGTGCACTTCGATTTCAAGCACTCGCCCAACAAGTCTGGTGACCCCTACCACGAGGAATTCGATTTCGCCGACGAGTCGTAATCGCTACCCCAGTCTTACGATTCCCTCGTCGACAATGTGGCCATCTCTTCAGGGTGCCCCGAAAAGCTCACCAATTCCCCCAACGCCCCCCCCCCAAGATCCCAGTTTCCCCTGCAGCTTTGTCATTTCTTGGCCATTCCGTGCCGGCCGTGCATGCTCCTCCGTCGCTCGATGGCAGTGTCTCATCGGACCAAGTCTCCAACATTAGTGCTCCAGCTACTCCAGACGTCCAGTCACTTCCTGATAACGACTGGAATCCGCATGAAATCCTCGTACGACCAGACCTCGAAGATGAAGAAGATGCAGACCTTCAAAACCCAGAGACAAGCTCAGATCTACAAAGTATTGAAGTCGCAATAGAGAATACCGAAGAGGATTGGCGACAGTTTCTCGGAAACTTCCCTCGAATTCCTGGCCAAGCGAGATCGCCACCCGTTGCTGACCCTGTGCGCGAAGACACTCCCTCTGACACAGGCGTGTTTCTTCCTGAAGATGCGTTGGCAATGTTGAGACACATTCCGCTGGATGTGACCCCGGACCCTTGGTCAGAGACTTCCGAAAGCAATGAAGAGATGTGGCAGATCGAAACACCAGAGCGACCACGCAGTGCTGACGATGCGACCCCCGCATCGGACCTCTCTGGATATAGCTTCAGTAGACTCAGTATACCCTCCCCTGGTGGCTTCTTTGCCTCCCTTGGTCCAAGAGCTCGTCACACTTGGTCGATTCCCAAGTTAAACAATATTCCTTCATCTGCTATAGCTGAGAGGTTCTACGATCTACCATTCACCCGGACCGAAGGAGAAATCGTTGAGCAGATCATTGAATGCCCTGAAAGGTCAATTGATGAGCAGCTAACAGCGGTTTACGATCCAAGTGGACCCCCGACTGCGATCAGGGTCCCTTCTGAAGACCCAGCGTCACATTTAGAACATGCGGAAAGCCCAGTTAGCGACGACATCGATGGTGTGCATGAGATTACAAGACCAGGCATGTATAATCCGGAGGAGCAAGATGAGAACTATGAAGATGAGTTGCAAAAGAAGGCAATGGCAAGCCTAGACCGAACAAGCGTTTGGCTCGCAGCGCAGGCTTCGTATCTTGCTGCTCTGTGTGAAACGAATCCCGCCAATACCCCGGTAAGCGAAAGAGAAGACTGTATCGCAATCGCGGAGAGTGTTACACAAGCCGTAGCACAGGTCGTGTCCCAAAAGTCCGTCCGATTTGATGAGACAGTTCCAGAAGCTCCCAGCTCCCGGCCTTCTGCACTGGCAAGCAAGGACTCGATCTATTGGAGGGGGTTCCAGTCTATTCGGCGACTGGCTAGAAACACAGACACTTTCATGCACCGAACCATGCGCTTCGACGCTGTGCAATCTATTCGGCTGGGTCTGCCCAATACGCATACAAATTGTTTGTTGGGCAATTACGAATTAGTTCGTCCCGGGCGACCACCTTACAGAGGTCCATTCTCTCAAGCACCCCGCGACTCAGTCGTGGGTTCCATCTTGGAGGAAAAGGCGCAGTTTTCCATGCTGGAGAAGGAGCAGTTAGTGCTTACCCAGATTAGCGAGCCTATGTGGGCCATGGACGCTCTTCGGTACCTCAATGGTGGTCATCTGATTGCTAGTCCTGCTTTTAGACGACTCGCTAAGTCGAAGTCAGTCTCAACAAACCCCCAAAGATCTAGTTCACGTCGCATTAGGGTTCTGGATCTCGGGGGTCATGCTTCGTGTGAGTGGGCATGGCAGATTGCACATGACTACCCTAACGTCAAGGTTTACACCGTCTTCACCGAGCACCAGGCATTTAACCGTGGCATAAAAGGGCCCGCGAATCACCGCCAAATTTCCGTGCAAAATCTGTGGCAACTACCATTCTCTAACAATAAGTTTGACGTGATCTCTACCCGTTCTCTGCCAGCCTTATTGAAGAGCGAACGTAGCCCCGGTGATCAGCAAGACGAGTATGGACTTTGCCTTGAAGAATGCCGTCGCTGCCTCAAGCCAGGGGGATACCTAGAATTCTTCGTGATGGATGCACAGATATCGCGCGGAGGGCCTTACGCATCCGCCAGGTCTGTTGAGTTCGCATACAACCTCAAGACGCGAGGCTACGACCCAACCCCTACGAAGAGCTTCCTCGGGCGTCTGCAGAAAGGTGGTTTTGTAGGGGTCAAGCGAGCTTGGATGTTCTTGCCAATGGGAAACGAGCCGGCAGTCTCCCCTGTTCCCAGGGAGACACCTGAGCCTAGAGTCAAGAGCCACCTCAGCGAGTGTGAAGCGGTTCAGGGCCCGGTCGGTAGCACAGCTGACGCTGCGAGTGTCACTGGTTTGTTTGGTGGATGGATTTGGGAACAATGGCTTCTCAAGTTGCAAATCGAGATGGGTCGAGAGCAGGGGAGGTTGCTAGAAGGAATTGGAAGCGTTTTCGATGAGGGTCGCAAGAACGGAGCTGGTTGGACATGCTTGTCCGGTTGGGCGATGAAACCGAGACAGAGAAAGCAACATGGGCCCCAAAAGAACCATGATAGGTAAAGGATTCACTCACTCTTTCACCCCCTATTTTTATGTCTATTTGGTCCTGTCCTTCGTTTGGTTCATGTATGTGAATGATACAAGTTAGCTATGATACCCATATACTGCCCTGGCGGCGAGCATTAATGTAATATACGAGATTGATTGACGCAAATTTTATGCGAAGGGACTTGAAGAATATGATTTCGTCCAGGCGCGTTGGGCAGATGTATGCATGATACAGGAGCAGAGCTCATAGTAGAACTATATTCCAGCAGCACATTGTGGAACGATAGAAAGCCACAACACCTATTACCTGGAACTAGACACCTATGTAGAGATTTATTCGTTCGTTGATGGCCTCCCATTGGCTTGGGAACGCTCTGCATAACATTGGTTGGTCATTGCTCGTAGAATGTCAAGCAGCCACTAAAGCCAGCTCGCTGAATACGAACGACAACAGTCCATTGGCACGTGACACCCGACCGGAGCAGATTAGATTGCGACTGACAACATCACTTCAACGGCATAATATTCCCCCACCTTTACGGTCTCTCTGTTATATCCTGAATTGCTCGCTGGGAAGTGCAGGGCAATTGTACCTTTTATCCACACATATACCCCACTCGGCCATGCGATAAGTCCTGCAAACACCATAACCCCGCGCTCAATTACCTTCCCGCCGCAACCATGCTCTTCTTCAGGTATGCCGGCCCACGACTGACCGGTCAAGCAAACGAACGAAGCTTCTCTAACGAAGTACAGTTTCTTCAAGACCCTTACAAACCAAACCGTGATTATCGAGCTCAAAAATGACATTCGTATCCGCGGAACACTGAAATCCGTCGACCAATACCTTAACATCAAGCTCGACGATGTCGACGTCCTGGATCTGGACAAGTACCCTCACCTGTCGTCCGTGAAGAATATGTTCATCCGTGGTAGCGTGGTGCGCTACGTTGTCCTGCCCCGGTCGGAAGTGGATGTCGGTTTGCTGGAGGATGCCACAAGACGAGGTAAGCTTGCGATTTGCGCTTCCACTCCGCTGGTCCGCGCCATTCTCAAACCAATGCTAATATGTATTCTACTACAGAGGCAGCCAACCAAGCCGGAAAAGCCCGGTGATCGAAGTAATCCAAAGTACAAAGAGAGAAGAAAATCCGATCATGCTAGTTTAATCCCCTTACGATGCGATGCCACTGCGTGCCCCCGGAACGAAATATCTATGTGATGATCGCCCACAGAGAAAGCCTAGGATATGAATACCGGTCTAGGTGGTGGCGGAAATTGAATATTTTTTGGTCTATGAGATGTCAAAGGAAGCTTAGAAGGGCGCTGAGGATTCGAAGATCCTATTCCTGTCGATTAGAGCTGGTACCTTCCCTGCAAACAGCAGCATAAACTATGTCTACACGCACGAGGCATAGGCTACTTGCCGGTGCTTTACAAATTCAGATATAATTCCACCGTACCGGGTGAATCTAGGTCGAATATGAGGCAAAGAGTAATCCTATCGGGTAATATGAACACGTGATCTCGCGACGCGAAAATGGTTGCCGCGCCGCGCCACGTTCTTGTCATTACGTTGGTTTCTGTCGTCGACATTCTTTCTGTGTTAGATTTCGAGATTTGTACGAAAAGGCGGGGGATTCAGTGCATTATGAACACATAAGACATATAACGCATTGAAACTAGATTGACAAACCGGACACCATCCAGCGGTCAACAATTTGCCCCTCAGCTTAATATACCTACGGCCGCTCCATTTCGATCAGAACCTGCTCTATACATAGTATTCGATATGGCTGGATCATTCTCGAAGAAAGGCTCGACGCCATCTAAACAGTCTTTCAGGTCCAAGCAACAAGGCTCTGTGAAACGGAATAGTAGTCTCCTGAACTTTTTCCAGAAGGCGGACGGCCCGCCGCAAGCCACGTCTCGACAGTCTCGGATTACGCAATTTGCAACGAAAGCAGACCGACCGACGGGTAGCGGGCAGGGCAGTTCGTCACTGCGACGGGAGGATAGCTCGAAGAGTAACGGTGGTGGCGGGTTGTTCTTAGATGATCGGAATGGGAAGAAGCCAGTCTCGATAGATCCTAGTACGCCCCCGCGGTCTCGGTCTCGGACACCTGACGATATCTGGGGTGAAGATGATGGGGATCTAGTGGCTCCAAAGGAAGAGGAAAGGTATAACGAGAATGGGTCTGCGGTTAAGAAGCGTAAGGTTGAGTCAGAGTCATCCTCCCCTCGGACCGATCAGGTGAAAGATGAAGCCTCTGCGACAATGCCTGCTCCCGCAAAATTGCGACAGGTTAGCGGGCCGTTCATCGATGAGTCTGATAGTGAAGAGGATATGGGGGCGTTTGGAGATTTCGGTAACGAGCCAGCGGTCTTGACAAAGGCCGAAGCCAAGAAGGACGCAACGGGCGTTGATAATGACCGGAACGATGATGATCGAAACTCCGATGTCGCCGTACCACCACTGGTAAGAGAAGCCACGAGCCATATCGAAGATGATGAACTTGCGAATTTTGACGATCTAGAAGAGAACGATTTCGGAGGGAAAGAAGGACTATTAGACCAGGAAAACGACGACGACGAAGAAGAAGGACCCGAAGAGATGGTATTTGGTTTCGACGATTCGAACGATTCGCCAGCTCTAGAGGAGTGCGATGTGGATCCTGGCGGCAGTGTAGCAGTGTGCCCAATATGCCAGATCGAGTTGGTAGGCTTGAGTGACGTTGTAAGGCGCTATTTTGACTTGGACTATTTACAAGGTACTTGCTAATAGTAGTAGGACATGTCGGTGCATGTCAATGATTGCCTTGATGGGAAACCTACAGCTGTTTTACCAAAACCGAAGCTCGACACACCGGTAAAGGCGCTGACGCGTGCAGAACTCGCTTCCGTTGCAAGACCACCGCAAAATGATCCATACTCCCCCGGCACATCCAAGACAGCATCCGCTTTCTCGAAGCTTATGGCAGGTAATGCGGAAGATACAGCATGGACAGTCGCGGCGGCCAGCGAAGTTAAGTCTAGGGGCAAGCAGGCATATCAGCGAACGTGTCCATTCTACAAGATTATCCCAGGATTCTCGATCTGTGTGGATGCTTTTCGTTATGGAGCAGTCGAAGGATGCAATGCCTACTTTTTAAGTCATTACCATAGTGATCACTACATAGGCCTCACGGCCTCATGGCGCCATGGACCCATTTACTGCAGCAAAGCCACTGGCAATCTAGTCCGCCAACAGCTCAAGGTGGACCCGCGATGGGTGGTGGATTTAGAATTCGAGAAGACTACGCAGGTCCCCAATACTGGTGTTCAAGTTACTTTGATCGAGGCCAACCATTGCCCTGGAAGCGCCATTTTCCTCTTTGAGAAGGCCATGGGGTCTGGCCCGTCCAAGAGGATTCAACGGGTCCTCCATTGTGGCGATTTCCGAGCATCTCCTGCCCATGTACAACACGCCCTTCTTCGCCCCGAGGTAGTCGACTCCGTCACGGGACAGAAACGGCAACAAAGGATAGACGTGTGCTACTTGGATACTACTTATCTCAGCCCCAAGTACTCCTTTCCCAGTCAAATCGATGTCATCGAAGCCTGTGCGGAGCTCTGTGTTAGCCTTGACCGAGGGGAGGACGAGGGCCCTGCTCCGTGGCAGTCACAAAAGGGAAATAAAGGAGGCGGGAGTATCATGAGTAAATTTTTCAACTCTGTGACAGGATCGGGGAGGTCACAGGAGAGATCGTCTAGCCCGCAAAGCCGATTGTTGATCGTCATCGGCACGTATAGTATCGGTAAGGAGCGCGTCTGTCTAGCCATTGCCCGAGCCTTGAAGAGTAAGATTTATGCCACTGCGGGCAAGCAACGAGTGTGCGCTTGCCTGGAGGATGCCGAGCTTTCTTCGTTGTTAACGGATGACCCCGTGGAGGCCCAAGTGCATATGCAGACGCTGTTCGAGATTCGCGCAGAAACCTTGGCCGACTATCTGGATTCGATGAAGCCGCACTTCACTCGTGTGGTAGGATTCCGCCCGACAGGATGGACATACCGTCCACCCACAGAGAGGATGTTGGACAACCCACCCGTCTCGACGGTGCTACATTCTGCTCATTGGCAGACGCCTTTCACCGCACGCGACCTGGTGCCCCAGCGCGGAAGTACGCGTGAAAGCGCGTGCTTTGGGGTGCCGTACAGCGAACACAGCTCGTTTCGGGAACTGACGATGTTCTGTTGTGCGCTCCGGATCGGACGGGTGATACCAACGGTAAACGTCGGCAGCCGGAAAAGTCGGGAGCGAATGAAGGCATGGGTCGAGCGATGGGAGGCGGAGAAGAGGAAGAGTGGATTGTATCGGGTGGAAGGGGACCGGTGGTAGAGTGGAAGATTTGTGACGAAGTACGGAGTAGACTTGTACATATTCATACACCGGCAGTATATTGTGGAGCATACAACATAAGAACTAGGGCCAGCTACATGTTGACCAGCCGTTAAGGGAGACTCACATCATGGCTCTTGGTATCTGCACATCATCGATACAACGTGACGTATCATATGCATACCGACATACCTTGCTGAAATAAGATAGAATATGATTGGGAGCTCAACCCCTTCACACCTTGGCGACATAGTAACAGCATAGAAAAGGTACATAAATACGAGTACATGCGTGTTGTCCACAGTGACGCCACCAACAGTGTAGGAGAATTATTACTGGTGGTGTCCTGTTCACCACCAATGAGAGAGCCGGCAAACGTAAGAAGGACGAGCACATTAGCTTGGCTCAAAGCTAATCAAATGCGCTTCACCAGTGATGGCGACCAACAGAACCGTGGGTAAGCACGAGCGGTCGATCATAACTCGTGACTGGCAGGGGCACATTAGCCGAGAGCAGAAGCGGGGGATCGGAGGCCAACATCGGCTGCTTAAGAACCGCAAGGGAACCCCAGACTTCCCGAATTTGACTTCCGTCGGTTGGATAGCCTCGGGGAAGCCTCGTTGGCGCTAGACCCATAAATATTGACCGTCAGCCATTGTCCGGATGAGGATGAGAGAGAGAGAAATGATATGATTCTTCGACCATTGGAGTGATTCATATTATTACTCTTATTGTCTTCGGTGTTTTTGCTGATCCTTTGTTTTTTTTTTTTCTTTTCCCCTTTCAATTCTCTGTTGACAACAATCTTCACCTTTCAACAATTTACAAGCGGTGGTGTTGATTGATTAACTACCGACGGCAATCATTCACTCATCTCTTACCTAAACAAGGTTAGTGGCAACGGTTGCCAACTGATTCTCCACGATCATCCCGTTATGGTTAAATTTTGAATCCTTTCGCGAATGCTAATGTTTCACCTCCCTGGTTTTAGTTTCTTAAGTGTCCTGCATTATCCCGTCTTGCTGGAGAAGTAAAACAAGGACAATACCCACCATGATTGCCGAGCTCCTGACGCCAACCGGCGCAGCGTATGTGCTCACCGCCGCCGTCTTCGTGTACTATATCCTGCCCTACCTGCAGCTATGGCGCTTACGCGATATACCCTCGCCCGGCTTCGCCGGCTTCTCCAACCTGTGGTTGATGCTGCAGGCCCGCCAGGGGCACCGCTTCCTCACCGTCGACAACGCCCATAAGAAATATGGTAAACTCGTGCGCATTGCACCCAGACATATCTCTGTTGCCGACGACGAGGCTATCCAGGCGATCTACGGACACGGAAATGGATTCCTTAAGGCGTATGTTTCTTCCTGTCTTCACTATACAATCAATATCGTCCTCTGTGCGGATACAAATCCCGCCAGCCAAAACAACATGGCAAAATACTAATAACAATCCAGTGACTTTTACGATGCCTTCGTTTCTATCCGCCGCGGTCTCTTCAACACCCGCGACCGCGCTGAACACACCCGCAAGCGCAAGACCGTGAGCCACACCTTCTCCATGAAATCCATTGGCCAATTCGAACAATACATCCACGGTAACGCCGAGCTCTTCGTGAAACAATGGAACCGCCTCGCCGATACTCAGGCCAACCCCAAGACCGGCTACGCGACTCTCGACGCCCTGAACTGGTTCAACTACCTCGCCTTCGACATCATCGGTGACCTCGCCTTTGGTGCCCCCTTCGGCATGCTGGAGAAGGGCCAGGACATTGCTGAAATGCGCATGAACCCGAGCGACAAGCCCAGCTATGTGCAGGCCGTCGAAGTCCTCAACCGCCGTGGTGAAGTCTCTGCTACCCTGGGTGCCTGCCCCAGTCTCATTCCCTGGGCGAAGTTTATCCCCGACCGTTTCTTCAAGGATGGACTCGAGGCCGTGCAGAATCTGGCTGGTATTGCGGTCGCGCGGGTGAATGAGCGTCTTCGGCCGGAGGTTATGGCTAACAACACTCGTGTGGATTTGCTGGCTCGTCTGATGGAGGGCAAGGATTCCAATGGAAACAAGCTCGGCCGCGAGGAACTTACAGCCGAGGCGCTCACGCAGCTGATCGCCGGTTCTGATACCACGAGTAACACCTCTTGTGCCATTTGTACTGGTGCCTGCGCACTCCTGGGGTCATTGAGAAACTGCACAAGGTGCTGGACGAGTCGATTCCCAAGGATGTGGATGTGCCCGTTCACGCGATGGTTAAGGACATCCCCTAGTATGTCATTCCCCGCTCCCCCTAACCCCCTTGCACTACGTGCCCTGGCCAAAAGCTAACCAAGAGAACAGTCTCCAATGGGTCATCTGGGAAACCATGCGTATCCACAGCACTTCCGCCATGGGCCTTCCCCGTGAAATCCCCGCCGGCAACCCCCCCGTCACAATTTCAGGCCATACCTTTTACCCCGGCGATGTCGTCTCCGTGCCCAGCTACACCATCCACCGCTCCAAGGAAATCTGGGGTCCCGATGCCGAGCAGTTCGTCCCCGAACGCTGGGATCCCAAGCGTCTGACTGCCCGCCAGAAGGCCGCTTTCATCCCCTTCAGCACTGGTCCCCGTGCCTGTGTCGGCCGGAACGTCGCGGAGATGGAGCTGCTCGTCATCTGTGGAACTGTCTTCCGTCTGTTTGACTTTGAAATTCAGCAGGACGGACCCATGGAGACGAGAGAGGGATTCCTCCGGAAGCCTTTGGGACTCATGGTTGGAATGAAGAGGAGGAGTGTTGCTGTTTAGGCTTGGGGAGGGGAAAAGAAAGTTTCAGGCGCGACCTTGGGTGGATTACTCAAACTGGATGTAAATATGACTTTTCTTATCTGGCTGTATGATTTGAAATTGTGCGATGTTCAATGAATTTCTACGTTTGAATCTATTCTTGATGACTGAGGCTCATATGTATATATGATGAGTGACCCTCTGGCTCTTTTTCTACTTCTTTGTCTTGGCATATCAAGGTCGCATATTAGAGCGTTGCACATAGATCGGATCTACGTTCCGGCCACGATTGAACCGAATACCATGTATTATTAAAGATCATGACGCCAGTGAGAGATAAGAAGTTAATGTTCAATTGATCATTATTGTTAAATCTATAATTACACCAATACCCTACGAAGAACAATATAGCGAACAGGATCACTGAGGGTGATTCGTAGTAACGCTACTCGCCAGCCGCACATCGCTCCATCATCTAAAACCTCGAAGCATGACTCCCAAAGAACTAGTAAAAGAGACTCCTCCCATGCCATATCATATCCCATCCTCTCATTCGACCCGATGCAAACTCTCCAACCGCCTGGGATCACCAACAACACCCCCAGCATCGAGGACGACAACCTCATCCGCAGAATGCATAGTCTCACGACGATGAGTAACAACAAGAGCCGTCCATCCACAGGCCGCGAATTCCTCCTTCAGCAATCTCTGCATAAGCAAAGAAGTGCCCATGTCAACGTTACTATTCGCTTCATCGAGCAGCACAATCCCCCCGTGAGTCTGTGTGCCGTACCGAGTCTCGACCAGAGTCTTCTGGACAAGAGCTCGAGCGAAACTGAATAGCTGTTGCTGGCCTGCGCTCAGGGAAAGCTCATCCGCGTCTGTGTCAAGGCTGCCCTTCTCCTGGATATGGGTCCACAGGCCCACTGCTGTCAGGGCGGATACCATGATATCGTCGGGCTGGGGGTTGGTTGTGCCAGCGAGATTGGAGCGCACTGAACCGGGGAGTAGGGGCATGTTCTGCGGGATAACTATGACGTGGTCGTGGATCTGGTCGGGGGAGATGGTGGATATGTCTATCTCGTCGATGCAGATTGAACCGGAACGGAGGTCTAGGAGGCCGAGGAGACAGAGAAGCAGAGAGGATTTGCCGCTGCACGGGAAGAGAGGGGGTTAGATAGTGGGCTCGAGCTTGTGCTGGTCAGGGCCTCTCATACCTGCCTGTGCGACCACAGATGGCGACCGTCTTACCGTGCGCAATGCGTAGCGACACGTTCGAAAGTACTAGTGGCTTTTCTGGGCTATGTTGATCGATTAGAATTGGACCCCCTGTTGGCATGCGTTGGGGGGTTCTTACCCGTATGATGCTGAGACTTGTCTGAACTCAAGGGATTGTTGGAAAGACCACTGGTTCGAGTATGAGCCATGCGATGGTTGGGGTGTGTTGTTTTCAAGATCTTTCAGGCGAGATATTGCCCCGAGTGAGGTTTCCATCTTCGTCCAGGAGTCAATCAGACTTGCCAGATCCTGGTTGAAGTTCAGTAGGTTGATCATGGCAACTCCGAGGGCACCGGGGCTTGTAATGTCGCTCAGCTTCACGGCGAAAGTGAGCAGTAACACTGCTAACGCTCCCACAAAGACGTCGAGAACTAGATTCAGCCATCGTTGGATACAGTAAAGTAGGTAGTATGGACGTTGAGACTCGGCCAGCAATGCGATGTTCGATTCTTCGAAGGTTGATGCCCAGCCAAATGCTCGGATGGTTGTCAGTCCGTTCAGGGCTTCGAGGAAATGTGTATAGAGAGGAGACTTTGCTTCTAGGTCTAGGAAGCGGAGTTGGCGGGAAGTTCGCAGATAGAACTTCTGTAGGCAATAGAGGATTCCTAGTGCTACTGGAACCATGATTGCCAGATACTTTGCTCCGATGATGACCATAACGGCACCCCCGATGCAGTTCAAGATACCTGGATTGAATTCCGGAGTTGATAATAATTTCATATGAGCATTGAAACATCGTTACTTACCAATAAGTGTGAGGAAGACTGCCGGTGGCAGTGCCATATCGACTAAAGTCATATCTTGACTGAACCTAGCTACTGTGAGCTTAGAAGGCTGCATATGCCTGCCAAATAAGGCCTACCTATTGAGTGTGATTCCTATATCGGTCGCTAGTGACAACGACAATGGTGTCCTGGAAGCATTAGCTACGTATTCAGCCCAACTCGGACTGAACTTACTTCATGACTGTGTCTAGCAACTGCTTGTGTAGTTTCTTGGATGCGCTTGGTACAATCTGGACAAACATATGACTAAATTTGTGAATGAGCATTTGGTAGTAGTCATCGATGGAAGTGGTGCTCACCGAACCGTAAGAAGTACAAGGATGAGACTTGACACTCCGAACATGATGTATATCCCAAAGTAGAACCCGTTATTCCCAGGCCTTGTGTGAGAATTTTGAACCCACCATTCTAGCCATACCGCTGTGGAGAGACTGTATATTAGCATAGGTTCACGATTGATTCAGAACGAAGCCCCTACTGGGAAACTTGTCGCAAAAGACGCTTACAGCGCCCAGTATGAAAAGAAAAATACTGTCCCGCCATCCAACAGCCTGGAGATAATATGCGTAAACTGCAGTGTCTCCGGATTGTCTTGTAGCATCGACCTCTTTGTTTCTCCGAACAATATGATCCATTGGAGGACGGGTTGGTTTCACTGACTCCAGGTCTAAGGATGGCTCCGTTGGGCCTGGTCGGTCTGTATGGTCTACCAATTGAGCTACATACCCATTGGAGCCTTTCTGGAGCTCATCAAATGTATCACACTGTACCATAGAGCCGTCATCGTCGATGACCATCACATTGTCTGCAGCCTGCATATGGCGTACTGTTCACCAGTATAGCCAGTCAATCCACGCACCACTGATCAAGGCAAAGAGAGCATCTTACCATTGTGCGATACCATAATCACAGTAATACCAAGGAAATCCTTCAACCCTCCTGGGCTAAATACCTTGTCAAAGATACAGTCCGCCGTGGTAGAGTCCAGTCCACTTAAGACATTGTCCAAAATCACGAGTTTTTTGTTGTTGTATAAAGCCCTCGCAAGCGTCTTATTCAGTGTCAGAAAGCCTCTCCTCTCAAATGGCATCACCGAAACTTACTATACGTTGCTTTTGACCACCACTCAAGGTCACACCATTAGAGCCGACAATAGTCTGATCACTTTGAGGAAGCTGCAAGAGATCTGGCTTCAAGCCACATGCTTCGATAACCATGTCATACAGCTTCTTGTTGAACGCAGAGCTTGAGTCGCCGATAATGTTTTGACGGATTGTTATGTTGCGTAACCACGGGGACTGGGCACAGTATGCCGCGTCTTGGAAATGCCTCCGGACCAGCCCCTGGCTACATGGTATCTCTCCGAGCACGCCCTTCAGCAAAGTGGACTTCCCACACCCAACCTTGCCTGTTATAACCGTCAGACTGGAAAGCCGGGTCTGTAGGTTAATACCGGAAACTATAACTTTGCCATCGTCTTTTACCCCGAAAGACGCATTTTGAAGGTCGAGCAGTATCCCGTGAGAGTCTTTTCCTGTGTTTTTCCATCTGGTCGATAAAGCTATACGAGACGTGTCTGAGGTGTGATCACTGGAAGACTGGTCTGAAACAGCTGTAATATCTAAGGGATTCAGGATGGATGCTTCGGTGCGATCACGGTCTTGAGTTAGCAAGAACTCCTGGATCCGTTCAAAGCAGCCTAGGCCTGAAGCAAAAGTGGGAATCGCGTGGAAGAGATTAGAAGCCGGCTCAGTGAGCAATGATATCAGCGATAGCGAGCTAAACGCCGCACCCACGTCCAACCTTTGTCCAATACCTGTTCCTTGGACAACGGCGTAAAGTCCAAAAGTGAGGATGGGTGACAGGACCGGGGTCGCGTGGGCTAGTGGCAGTTGAGATATCGGTTAGCTTTTCCGAGATTGACTTGGTAGTGATACTCACTCACATAGGAAACTGGTCCACGCGGTCATGACACGGAATTTCTTTGATAGGTCAAGCTCAAGGACTCGGAGATGTTGTATACGTTTAGACACCGCCTCCGTCAAGCCCAGCATTTTCACCTCCTTCATCAGACTTAGGATCGAGGAGGTATGAGTGACCCTCTTCTGAACGGCCTGGTTCCACTCGCGACGTCCACGGCCCATGAAGCGAGCGAGGTATAGACTTGCAAGAAAGCACACTAGATCTTAGTTAGAGCCGACATTAAGAGCCGTAATGGTGAAGGAATACACACCTAAGGCTGTCACGGCTGGAGCAATACAGGCTACTCCGACGTGTCGCTCAAGCAGCCACAAACCAAGCGCTATTTCCATTGGGCAGGCCCATATATCATGAACAGCATTGAAGGCTGATGCTATGCCATCGATGTCTGTACTCATCAGTGTCAATGAGGCTGGGTTATTAGAACTGTTGCTGCTATCCAGAGCCAATGTCTTGCGGAATAAAATCACTACTAATGAACCACGGACCATCGTAATGGCTCTATACGTATGGTGTCTATACGCTCCGGTGCAGAACTAATAGTGACCATTAGTACTCTCATTGTCTTACATTGATTGGTGTTCTGTCCTCACCGCAAGGCCAAGGTATATCAAGACTGTGCTCCCTATGAGCCCATAGCCAATTGCCTTGTGGATATTGCCCGGGTTAGCCTGCACCTCAGCTACATAACTTACCGCCCTATTTAGGAGAAATGGCTGGGCAAATCTGAAGCCAATGAGACACAATCTTGGGAAAAGAGCAGATACTAATGGCCATTTTATAGCTCTGCAAACTGCACCGAGTAGCGCAAGACGCCGCGTTTTCCGGCCTGTTTGACAAGTTAGAATATTGTTTTGTAGAGTGTCATAGAAGAGCGGGCTAGCTTTACATTTGCTCCAGGCCTGTTCCATCTGAGACCCTAATCTCTCGCCTGAGAATTCCGGACTCAAGGTGAACAAGTCCTCTAGCTTCATCTTGAATCGAAACCCCCGAACAAGCAGGGGGTTCAACCACCAAAACGAAACTCTGTTGAAGACCCCACTTGTTGCTTCGGGGGCAAGGCCTTGGAACTTTGGCATCAGAATGGAGCTTTTCCCTTGCGCTTCAAGAAACAGAAGCACGGCTTTGACGGCAACCATAGCAGAGAACAAGGCCGGCAAGGGGCCATTACTCTGCAGAAGCCATAATGTTCTGCATTGAACTGCATCAAAAATGGTGGAAAAGAAAAGGTAGACATTGATGACAGTTGACGTTCTGGGAGTCCCTAAGTGTTCAGCATTTGAGAGAAAGCACAAGGCAAGTGAGTCGGCCAATGCGAGGATTGCGGCAGCCAGCGAAACTCGGGACGTTCCTTGGCTCCAAAAGACTACCAGAGCTAGTTGAACTGCTCCAAGCGTAACATTCATAAACTGAGATACATTAGGAAGACTGCACGTCTCTCTACCGGACCGGATGTGCCGTACCAATTTCAGAGCCCATATTGTGTTCCTTCTGGCCTTTCTAGTCCCATGTCGCAAAAGATACCAACTTCGAAATGTAAAGATGAGGAGAAAGATTGCTGATGGCGTGATGGAAAGGAAGCTTTGTTCGAACAGCAGGGTCAGGTCAAAGGCATCTCCACAATGCCTGCTGACAGGACCAAAGTCGTCATCATCCACGGAGCCATCAATGCATGAGCTATTGTCGTTATAGAAGTTCAGAGAGTACTTCACAAACAGTGGAATCGACGTCATTGTTCTTTCGTCGCATCTGGTAGAAGCAATATGGAGTCAGTCAGTTTTAATCTTATTCTTGGACGAAGACCCTGAGTCACCACGGGTACTCTCCAATATAAGCTAGCTTTGTCGGACTTCCGCCGGCGCGTACGAGCATTATCTGTGCACCTGGGCAGGAAGAGGAAGGTCTAACGACTGCTAGCCAGTCTAGCTTGAGGCTTAAATGGAGTGATTGGTGGGCCATTTGAGTGTCTTATCTTGACTCGGCACATATTGGCAATTAGTCGAGACATGGATGTATAAATGGGCTAGTCTCGCGGCTGGGATAAGGCCGACATAGGCAAAAGCCCTGGAATCATACACCTGAAATAACTTGGGGGCGGAAAATACATCACGCTGTAAATTCTAATAGCGTGGATCCTTTTATGCTGCCGTGTAAATTAGGAGTTTACAGCTGTTATTATACGTACTTAGTTCAAATCCCACGACTATGCAGAAAGGCCATCAAGAATGGACATCACTCATTATATATAACGTTCATACCACATGATCCCGAACCGGGTGGCCTGGGATAGCAGGAGTAATAGATAAATACATTACGGCACTTCAACCTCTCATCCCAAGACATCATAGACGTGATCACCACGTCGCCGGGCCGAACTTCTCTCCGGTAATTTCTACGGCAGTGCCGGCAGCATCCATGGTATCGGCCGCGATACGAGTCCCCCACCATTCCGGGAAGTTGGTGCGAGTTAGTTGCAGGCAAAGGAAGATGACGATCGTGGATAGTGTGAGGCCGACGTCGAGCCCCGCAGACAGGACGTAGTTGTACTGCATCCACCAGCCCCGCCAGCGGCTGCGAATCCACTTGTTGAAGATAAAGCCAACAATGCCCCAGCTGAGGTAGTTGAGCGGTGTAGCAGGGGGGATCAATCCGGCACCGGTGAAGATTAGAGGCGCGCTGAGGTAGCGGATCTTGCTTCGGGGCCATATACGGGCGCCCAGATAGATCAGAACGGGCAACACAGCGCCAGCGAGCCAAAACCACATCATGCCGGAATAGAGCTGGCCGGGTGAGAACATGCGAGCGGGACCAATGACTCCCCAGATGACGGAGGCGTTGAAGAAAACGCGACCGTTTGGACAGGTGTAGTGGTTCGGTTGCCCCAGCTCACAAACCCCGTCGATCGATCCTAAAGCCCAGTTCATGACGGCAATCTGGACGATCGACGTCCACAGGGTGGCGACCATCTGGGCGGCAAATGTAACTCGGGGAGGAATTTTCATATAGTGACCTGCAAAAGAATTAGTCACGGAACCGGGGCCATCTAAGGTTGAAACTGACCGAGTTTCATGTCCTGACAGAAGTATAAGCCCTGGGACATGGATATATAACCAAATGTTTTGAAAAGCATCATGGCCATTGGCTTGCCTGGCTGCATGTAGCCGATCACAAACTCTGTCAAAACGTTAAGTCCCAGTTGGATGTTTGTGGCTGCCTGCACAATTCCAACAGGCAAAGTCCACACAATGGCCATGATCAAGGCGATAAAGAAGGCCCACCAACTCAGGTGAGTAGGATATCCGAGTGACACACCCAGACCTATACCCATCATGGTTAAGAAGAGTGCACCGTACCACCACAGCGGTACGGGCTTGAATCGAGCCATCAGACGGGCGTGGACATCATCCTCAGTCTTGCGGAAAGTCTTGAGACGGGCCAAGACCTCCTTACCATGAAACAGTATCGCATGCAGAAGGACGGATATAACGCCAGCAAAGCTCAAGCCATAGCACAAAGCGAATGTAGTGGATAGAAAGAGGGGCGAGTACTCTTTGTATTTGGCGTCATCGAAAGTAAACTCTGGTGTCAGGATTTTGGACACGTTGTATACTTTCCCGAGGTTATCATAGCTGCTGGAGTCACTGATGGGCAAATGCTTGAACCAGTAGGCATTGCTGTAGTGTAGACCAACAGTGCAAATCCAGTAGAACACTACCATACCAATAAGGGTATTGGCGTGCGCATGCCACGGCGAGATCAGTGGACTGAAGTTGAAACCCGAGATCTGGGTCCAGTCAAAAGTGATAGGGAGTAAAGACAAGCCCGTCCAGCCGCCGAAGAGCTGGTTGACGACAGGGCTCTGGGGCTTGATCCACGTCACCCAGGCGAAAACGCTGAGGAAGGGGGCAATATACCCAGGGAACCAGTACCAGACGAAAGATCCGATCAAACAATACAAGAACATGCGATATCTGCCGATTGTCCAGCCAGCGACCTTTCGTGGGTCGGGGAGAGTGCGGTCGTGTAGTGCACTAAAGATGGATGTATTGATGAGCGTTGATGGCCAGATCATGGCTGCTGGGGCGACCAAGAATCGGTGAAAGAAGCCTGCAAAGCCAAAGCCCAACATCTGAGTACAGATACACAAGAGGAGCTCATAGCCCCACCCAAACCGCTGTTTGTAGAAGGCTCGTTGGGCGACTATGATATCGGTGGCATAGGCAGTACCACCCCCAAAAGAAGCATTGGCCATGAGGACTGCAATGGCGTGTTCCTTTTTGCTAAAAGGGCCGGGGTTTAGATTGAACTTGAGACCAAACACAGTGAAAGTTTTGTTTGGAAGCAACATGGCCCAACCTACACCAATTGGGTAGGCCACAACCTGAACGACATACGAAGGAATAACAATGTATGGCTGCCGCAGAGAGAACAGCATGTTCATACCCGATGCAACAGTGGATAGGACTAGGCCAATGACCCAGGCGCGGATGGTATTGGTATGACCACCCTCGTCGTAGTTGGGGACAGCTGCACGGACTTCTGGATATGGAGAATTGTCAATGAGCTCCTGAGCAGCTTCTGCCCCAGCTTTGTCGTCAATATCGTCGGTGGCATCTTCGGGCAAGTTTGGATCCCATTGGTGATCCTTCTTCAGTTGTTTCAGATGGGATATGGCCGCATCCGGTGCTGCTTCATCGATGGCCGCTCCGGTGGTCACGGCCACAGTGGGTTCAGTGTCTTTCTCCTTCATTGTGGCGCGTGACAGGGAGACGACGCCACCAGAGTGCGTTGATATGAGAATATGGTCGTGCTCGCACTGACCATCCAACTGGAGAAGAGAAGAGAAGTAAAGGGACAAGCTCGCTAAGAGAGCGTTGGGAATGTGGAAAGGAAAGGAAGAGTGCTGAAGGCAGTTACCCCATATAAATGATAGGATGGCATTCTGCTCCTTACCAAAACAGTGGGGAGCATTAGCTATGTCCGATGGTAGCCCGACATCTTATCGTCCATGCATGGACTAATTAATTAATTGTAAATGGAACCAACGCTATCAAATCATCCCAAAGCCACTAAATCCCTAGGCAGGTTCCGATGTAACCTCGGCTCAGAAACCAGGGCTTCCACTTCCCAAAGCTCGTCTTTCTAGACATACCAATGTTGGATACGACATACAAACCGAACTTCCATGCAAAAAGAGAACAACACGGTCATTTTATCGTGCTGGCAGCCGGTCACTCGGGGAATCTCACATAGGCCATTATATTCCAATCATGCAGATCAGCTCTGAAAAATCTCCGGGCTTCAATGACTTGTAACAATCCGGCCATACTATGGAAGAAAACCTCCGCAGATCGGCACTGTCTTGCTATGTCGGCTGATGGCGAGCCCTGATAGGCTCCCTAAGCTATCCGGTGGACATGACGCTAGGGCTCGACCAGTTCTCTGATCTACTGCATCTTCGTGAGTGGCCAGTGACTAACGGACCTGACCACGAACCGGAGTGGCGTCCCTATATGCGCCGACGAATCGCACAAGCCATGGATGTTTCACCGCAATCAGCGCTAGGGAGATAGAGGGTTGGACCAGGGAGTAATTGAAATTAGTCGCGAAATGCGTCGGACGTCCGGTCCGTATCTGGGGTATTAAGCATTGGATTTCTTGCGCTAATTCGGTGGAGGGTGGTGGGGGCCAATCTGCAACTGTAGCCTATGGGTGGCGTGGATGCGATATCGATAGGGGGAATGGGTTGATACGAGATGTGAGACCCCCGGCACTCCCACCCGCGCAAGCTTGTTCCTGATAAGCAACGGAGCACACCACCGCAAACCCCAACACCAAATGAATGGTCATGTCCAACGAAGAGACACATCATTTGATCACAATATCCGTGGCAAAGTCTGCGTGACCTGCCTCGGGGCCTGCCTAGCGTCGTTTAGACAATATACTAGGCGGGGCCCATACGAGGCCAGGTTGAAGATATCGCGAGGCCTCGGTTAATCCGGGAATAGAATGGCAAATCCTCGGAGGTTGTCTAGCGATAACCCTAACCGCTTCTGAAAGTTAACTCCGTCTTAGCTTCAACTTGGCGGGCCTGATAAGGCCCATGCAACAGGGTGGAGCCAATGGCCATCGCTTCTCGAAGCCTGCTTCAACCCCAGCTGCGGGAGTGATAGGGCGATGTAACGTGGCCCAAAATTGGCACCGTTTGTACACCCAATCTCCTTCCTATTCTGGGGTCATAATTCATGAATGGTGGTTAGGGTTTCCCCTAGAAACTTATGGGATAAATAGCACACCGTGTTTGTCCATATCGGCCTTTGTTCAAAATACCGCCACAGTAGCGACTGCGCTGCCGTGGGATAACCAGCAAAGCTCAGAGTAAATTGCAGCACGAAGAATCGTTCCTATAGGCCGGACGCAGATGAGTAGATAACATCATCGGCGACTAGTTTACGTGCCTTGAACACCCGCACGGATGTCGATGTGAGGTAACCTGTTGCTATAATCTTGATTTTTGACCTGGGCTTCTGTATTTGGCAGGTGCAAAGATAGAACAATGTTCTAGCGCAGAAGGTGCTAAGACGTGGGACTCAGCAACGGCCATATTCGGCTATGATGCAGCTAATGACCTCAATGTATATGCCCGCACTAGACCTCATTCGCGGTTAGATCGCCAGAGCGTCCTATGAAGCTGTCCCACTATATTGGACAAGGTTGCAAGGCCACATGGCGAATGGATATCGTCGGATGCCAGGTTTCAACAAATACGAGAAGCCATGTATTTCTCATAGTTCTTGTTATTGTTATGCGAATGGCAGGTGAAATAAGATTGCCACGTTCTATAGAAAGTGGGTGTGAGCATGGCATCATGGAACTGTAGCACCGTGAGCTAAAAGGGTCAATCGCAACCAGGACCACTCTTACATTGCAATCATAAGGCGTGATAAACCGACATTTTGGACTAAGTTTGTTGCATTTACCGAAGCACCTGTGACCCTCCGGCGACGCTGTCTATGTTAGTCTCACACTACTCTTCGCTCTAAGTCGTTGGCGCCGACCGGGAAGTTACTAGCGCTAGATGGCAGCTCCTAACGATGACCAACCTGAGCCATACGGCTCCGTCGAAGGGAAGAGTCCGTCATCACCCAAGGCCCATTCGAAATCAGCCAGAAACTGGTCATCAAAGAGGACAGGTTCATAACGTTCCATCGGACCAATCGGTGCATTTACCACCCCACCGGTGCTATCTCGATTGGAATCAATCCCTATGCCGATGATAAGCTTCACCATGAGGGGTAAGATGAAAGAAACATACCATCCGGCGCATTGCCCTGGGAAGGGACCCCTGACCGATATTGGGGGTCATGCTCTTCCCGCCACCACCATACTGCATCCACCACAGGACTAAGCATCAATCGACTACGGATACGAAGCGTTGGGAAGTCACTCCCGTCAGACTTGCGAAAGGCCTTTGTACTATTCCAAAGCTGATTTAATACAATAACCGTTTTGGCAGCAGCATCGTTGTTCTGGACGGACATCTGTTTAAGAAGATTAATTGCAATAAAAAACATGATCGAGCCCTCTCAAGATCTAGCTCAGGTAACGCAGGGCCCTTGAGTATGCGCAAGAGGACGACTGAGGCGAGGAGCAGCGCAAAGTACACCTCCAGAGGGGTTGTCGCAAGATTCAGGGGTGTTCGGCTTAAACCTTGAACGGACTCGATAACCAAACAGGCGGTAGATAGGAGACGTTGGATGCACCCTGTCGAGAATAGTGTCCTGCTTTTGAAAAAGTGTAACGTTTGAATGCTTAGACGACAAATGGTGGTTTGGATCCGGTCATGCGCTAGGTGACAATGAGCTTCTCGCGTACTAATGTAGGGGAAGATTAGTATTACCTTGAATTATGTGTGTCTCCAAATCAGTGACCTGGTTCTCAAATGTACGTAACAAAATATCTAAAGATCTTTCTTGTTCTAGGGACATTGTTCGTACCCCGATCTCGAGAACAGCCGCACTACAACGGCCAACCAGTTCCTGACATTTTCTCTCCAAGATGAGTGACGGCGATAGCTTCTGAACGTCCACTTCGCGTGGTCCAAAGTCCTGCTCTAGCTCCATAAAAGAGCGAGGCGGATGCCCCTTTATAGAGCAGGCACTGGCATCTCTTAGCACCTCGCAGGCAAGGTGGTGTGGTTTGCACCTTACCGTTGGTACACAATGACACAGCGTGCCCAAAGCTCGGATCGCCGCATCAGTTCCGCCTCCGATGGGGCAGGAATCCTTTTCTTAGTGAACTCATGGCTAGACATGGGGATATGAAGCCCGTTCTGCATGGCAATATGCAGCATACTGCCACTTAATGGAAAGGTTAATTCAGCCCTTGTACTATCCTTCGGCATTGGCCATGTGAGGAAGAGGAGCAAGGCCTGGATTATATGCCACGGGGCCGATGTCGACGCAAGTGAAAGTAAAGCCATGTCTGTGATGCTTCGTGCGAGCGCAGTAAGCAATGTCGGATTTTTTGGGTACGTCCTGCATGCAACCCCGATGACAGCCCAAAATAGGAAGGGGCATTGTGCATAGTATGTGTTGGGGGTGGTTAATGGGTCCAGCACGGGGAGGAACTGGGCATATTGGTCAAAGAACCTGGTCTCCATTAGCTGGTACAGCAACATTATCGTAAACTAGGTGTGTACAGTTGAAATATTTCGTCTATTTCCTCTCCAGTGACTTCAACGCCACTCAAAGTACGCGGCACTGTCGGATCCGAAACCCGCTCCCCTAGAGTATATCCCACTCGTGGTAGGGGCGGCCGCAGAGAGACAGAAGGAACTGATGTTTCAGCACAGGAGGCTGGAGGTGACTGTGATTGAGGCGTTAAGTGCAGACCAACCTCAACCCCCGTGGAATGCACGCCCATTTCCGCAGCAGCTGTTAGCATGGCGATAGGTGAAGGCTGAGGGAGAGCACTCTGCGAAGACCTCAATCTCTTGCGCAACTCATCTGTCTCATGTTCCAATTCTGAAAGTCGTCTTTTCCAGTCAGTCTCTGTATGAACTTATGATGATAAGCAAGGCCCTTCATCCACTCACTGGCGTTTATGCTCTCTCCGGAATGGATCGGAGATTATGCACTGTGCTTTCATCTTGACACACCTGGTGCATGGCCGATCAGGGTTGAGATAGGCATCGCACCGAGCCTAGAGACGCTAAGATTAGAAAAGTTCGCTGTTATAATCATTTTGCATAACTTCATCGTGCACAAGCAAAATGGGGACCATACTACTGGGTGACTCACCTTTTGCTGCCTGCACTCGGTGCAAGCTTTCTTGCTCCGTTTCGATGACCTTTCAACGCATTAGTGGGATGCTATCGTGAGTGCACTGTTGAGCATAAGTTCATCACTTGCATCGCAATATCTTGATCGTCCATTGTATTCAAACAGTCGACTTCACTCTAAGCCTGGCAGACTGACAATGTGGTATCGGGGGAGACGAATGCTGATGGCAGCACGGTGAGGGAATATTAGAAGAAAAAAAGCACGGAGATAGGACCATAATCTCCGCCAGCTTACTGGATCTCTGAGTAACTACCAAATACAGCACAACAGATATTTACAGACCAGATAAGTGAGAGTATATTACCCAGTGACATGATATATGTGCAATTATTATGCACATGTTAATTATACGCACACAGGCGTGGGAGACGCATTAGCTTGCAGTGAGCCTCCCAGATTGTACACGATATAGTCCAGGATCTACGGAAGAGCTTGTCAGCAACTCCTAGACTACCTGGTTGGTGCCTTAGGCCGTTGTTGTCATCCGCTAATCACCTGCCATTTCGCTAAATATGATTACGCCGGAGGAATTACATTGACCAAGGTAAAGGTGCTTTTTATTTTGATAATTTCTATGCTAATATGTAGTAGTAATAGAATCGTGTGTACAGGGTCACCTGCTAATTAAGGCATCCCGGTACCGGCCTGCCATGTCGGGTGTTGCCGACACGGCGGTGGTTCGAGTTTCCGGTCCCGGTTTGTGTCTGTTTCTGGACACAGCAATCAACATGAATCTGGGTTGTACTTCTTTAGTTAGTTTTTCTTGGAGGAATCTTATGAATAATTCATGATGAAATTTCAAGTGGGATTTCCATTATTATTTTAAGTCGCCCATGATTTGAGCATCCTTTTTGCGTTGTGTTTGGGATATGTCGATATATATATTTCTAGCGTAGCTGCTCACGCCCCGTTCGGTGTCAAAGGACATGGGAGATATTTAGTACAGTCACCGTAACAAGATAAACCCAAACAAGGGGGGGGGGGAAGGAAAAAATAAATAAATACCCGATTCAATAAAACAGGAAAAGAAAAAGAGAAAAAAAAGAAAAAGAAAAACCATGACAAGCAAGTCCATTCACCCAGAGCATTATAAGAAAATTAGTCCAACCCTACTCTGTACTACGGATAGAGCTCTCGCCGAGGAATGTCGCACGTCACGTGGGACAAGGGGCATGATGTCTCTACTTTTCTGGGCCGACCAGGTGTGTGAGGTCATCTGTAAGACACACTAGCGACACGGGCACTGCGCTATTTTCAAGGGCTAAAGATGCCTCTTGCACAGCGTTACAATATGGGGTGTGATCCCCAGAGGCAAACTAAAGCACTTCACCAGCAGCTTCCCGGTTGATCTCGCAAGGTGGCTTTCATACCGATCGTGGATTCTCACATGGTGGATACTTAGGCTATAAACGGGCGCCATAACACGGTGGATAGTGATCAAGGAGACATTCGGGGTTGGCCGCGCACTTCTTCGGAGACCGTATACCGATGGTTTTAGGCTTCCTTAGACTTGGATTGAGGATGATGTGAGTAGCCTATTAGCAGCGCGGATATGAGACTTGATTGAATAACTCCATTCCAAATAGAGCATCGAGTTGATCAATCTATATAGCACGCCATAAGGAGTGTTAGACCGCAGGGAGGTTGTTCCCATTACTGAAGAGATGGTATAGCGAATGTAGGAATTAATGACGGTCCCCCATTCAGGTGTGTGCACCAGTATTCTACAGCTGTCTCCTACTATTTGAACCGTTCAGCTGTACTGGAGGCCATTGACAAATGGCCCACTCTGGATGTATTCAGGAAGCTTATCCAGCATTAGGAACAACTTGAATCAGAGCACTAGATAAAGTAGATTCTGCCAATGATGATTCTCGGAAGTATCAGTGCTCGACCACTATATGGTTCTATGTATCTAGAAGACTGGCTAATACTTCCACGGCCTGTAAGAAGTAATTGTCTGTGGCAAGCGGACAACGAGAGGGTTCCTCATTATTATCAATAAACTTAAACCTGAGAAGCAGGTCTATATCGCGGCGAATGCATTCAGAATGATATCAGCGGGGAGAACATGGGGGATTATAATATATACCACAATTGTGCGGTTGTTAAGATACGAGAAATTGTAGGAGATGAAAGCCAGTTCCACGTTAATTGTCCGAAAGAATTTTGCTGTTTACTGTGGATGACAACTTGCCATCGATCCATGACTGGAAACACGCGTCTGAGATCAATCAAGGTATCAGGGGCGAGGACGTTACTGCAATGTCACAAACAGGAGGGGAACTCACCGGAGATGAGCCCGTCCTGGGTGGACCTGCAGGTACTTTAAGGATGTTGGATAATACGAATAAATATTGACACTCGACTCAGCGACCACCCAAAACCCTGGGGGGAAGCAGAATAACTTTGATGCTAAAGAGGCTCTACTGAGCAAGCTGGAAAGCGATCCTACACCCGAGGATGTCAAACAGGGGCAGGTGTTAGAGGTAATACCCCAGAGAAAAGATATCAATCAATTTAGCTTTGACAAACAGCCTAGAGCCGTGTCCTGAACAGTTTCAATCTCATGAGCTCCGAATCTCGCCCCATTTCTAATTGGCACGATCTTTTGGGGATACCTCGTGGAGCACTGGAATCCCAATGTGGTCTGTGAATTCCGACAGACGTGAGCGGTCCTTGCTGAATGGAACTGGTTCAAGTATTCTCCCCTGGCGTACAAGCTGACCATGCTGTAGATGACGGTGCTATAGATTCTGAGACGACGCAGTGTTTAGAATGAATGGTAGCTGACCTGGAGGTTGGAAGTAAAGCCTTCGGGCCAAGACCTGCAGTTAGAAAAATTTGCCATTCTTCATGAGATAGCAATGAACACTGTTCCTAACAAAAAACTTTTAAGGTTTGGAAAGAACTAGTTAGTGGAGTAGAGCAATATGACCTATACTATTAACAAGGTACATGTCTCTATCTGGTTACGGTTTACATTTGACCAACCTGAGTTCGCTAGGATTTGCAATGGCGGTCTATAAAACTAATAGTCTAATGGCTGTCTCCAAATTTGGATTGGGAGGATCATACCAGGTTCCTATAATGTCACCCACCCAGAGCGTATAGGGTCAATAGCCGTACTTCTTAGAGAGTGTTCTACGCGCCCCTAAATCCCATAGATCCCTTGAGATATGGTCGGGGGCGAGGCTGTATATGGTACGGATAATCTGGATGATCTCTCACATCTGTTTATATAGCATCTTGGAGTGAGATGCAAAGAAGTCTCCTGCCAGACAATCAAACAACGACAAGGAAAGCTGATCCATATTCGCAAAGGACCTAGTGACGAACAATGACCCCACCACTGAGCAGATCAAAGAAGTACGTGATTGTCGGTCACCTAAGATGGTTCCATCAAGCACCGGTATTGGCAACGGAAATCCCCCAAATCTATCTTGAGTGAGTCACAACGAAAGGGCAAACGGTAGATGCCCAAAGGGATGATGTCCATCGCTCTCTAAAGCGCAGGAAAGGGGCCTGGGACTCCTTAGTGAGTGTGATAGAATCTTGGATAACCCCCCCGAATTATGTTGATTAGTTCATTGTTGAGACCGCATAGAGGGGCATTGCATGATATACAGCTAATTAAAGCGCACTGTGATGTGACAGCGGGCCTGGACGGACGATCCGAGTGTTTCTCACCGCGTTAGTCCATGTACATCAGACCCCGCCGAACGAAAACTATAGCGAAAAGGGCAGAGACACATGCATTAGCCGAGCAAGTTTGGAGATTCCGTTGGGCCGCCCTCGGGATCAAACATGACAAATTCTTGCATAAAGGGAAAGGCATTGGTTCAAGATAGTCTCTGGAATCAAGGTTTGCGACCGGCTGAAGTGGCTCGCGCGGTACTACCTACTGTGTACTATCAGTAATCAGCCCATCAAATAATCATGATCTAAGCTCCTTCCGAGTGGGGAATGTTGCAGATCAATTAGTGGGTTATGGAGGGGTTTTGCATAGCTGAGCTGTGGGGATTGATTGTCATTGCGAGAAAGTTGCTCTGGGAGGATTGTGTCGTTCAATTGATGGGAATTAGTATGATGGCGATGCGATCCTTGCAAACGCAGGAAGGGGCTCATTCTCAGGTGCCGAGAACAATTGAGTTGGAAGAGCGAGCCAGAAGGACACACGTAACAAAGCGAGAAAAGAGAGAGAGAAAGAGAGAGAGAGAGTTTGGTGGAACCCAGAACGTGACCGACTGGCCAATTCCAGCAGAGTTCAACCCGTGACGCAAAGACCCTCCCTTCAGCTTTTGCCCCTCATCTCCCTCTTTCCATCCATTTGGATTCCTTACCAGCGATTGATTCGAATTGATCCCCCCCCTCCCTCCACTTGGTTAACCCGCAATGACAAATACCCATACCAGTGGGTTCTTTCTTTCCCACCCAATGTAGCAATGTCAACCACGGCTGAGCAAGAGTCGATTTCCTGTCCCAGAATCGAGATTTAGGTGAATGACCGGGGGACCATGAAGGGCTATAAATACCCCCTGAGGTGCCATCATTCCTCGAAGGTCCCCAACCCATGAGCACCTTGTTCGCCTGACTCTACCTCCCCCCAATCAACTTTAGCCGATCCGATTCGTGACGTCAGAATGCCTTTGTCCGGCCACTGTCTCTGCAAAGCCGTCACCTACACGGTTGACGTTGACCAGCCGGCCATAACCGCGTACGATCACTGCGACGATTGCCAGCGCCAGAGTGGATCAACTTACTGTATGTGTGATCGCGTTTGCAGTCCTCGTTCCTCGGCGTCTATTATTATAATATACTTGACAGCAGACTATGCGCTAATATCTTTCGCTTCACAGCTCTCGTCGCGGTAGTGCCTAAAGACAAATTGAAGATCAATGGACCCATCAAGAGCTACACAGGAACTGGATCTTCAGGCAACGCAGTTCACCGACTTTTCTGTTCGGAGTGTGGCTCCCCTATTGCCCACGACCCAGATGCTGCCCCAGAGATCATCGCCCTGAAGGCCGGAACGCTTGATGTGGAGATTAAGAAGAACCTGAAGCCTGTACGAGCCCCCAATATCCCTATGATAGGATAGGCTACCCTTTGCTTCCTCAACTAACGCGAGATATCTATTTAGAACACCGAAATCTGGACTGCCAGCAAGCTTCCATTCTGCCAGGAGCATCTCGAGAACGCTTTCAAGCACATGCCGGAATAAACAGCCCACGGAAAATGGATGACTTGCAGAGGGTACAATAATCTTGACGATAAATAGTGTATGACCTATCTAATGAATGAAACTTGATGCCAATTTTGAAGTTTGCACTCTGTATAACTTAGTATGCTGCGTACATGCACCGCCGAATCCCAAGTCTGATTGGTGGACTATAATAGTTAGCTGCCACGTTGTTCAACCCCCCTTTCATTAAGGGAATGGTGGACTGTATGCTCCCTACCCTTTCAATTGATAGCAAGTACTGAAGATCAAGGCTGAGGATGGCAAGCCTTGGGTGCAGAAATGGGTTGGTTCCACCAATATTCGACCGGCGATATACTAGACTTGAGTGGGAATGACTGGAAATCCCCCGGTTGCTTGGCAAGGCTATTCACTTGGTGGATGGCGTACTTGAGTGCCGTCTCAGAATAACACCTGATACATATAGAAAACCTTTGGCCAGCGACGGAAGAATGTGCGGTAGCTTATATGGCAGCCTATAAAGCGCATCGATGACTCCCGTGTGCTTGAGAAGACTATTATCACTCGGACGTACGAAGTTTGCTGTGCAGATAGTTAGAGTGAAGGTCCTCGCAATCTGGTAAGCTTCGTTACTGCATGTGTCAAAAGTCGTTGGAACTTGCAATGTCGTCAGGGATCCTTCACATCATCGACTCTCGGACGAAGCAGAGGTATGAAATTCCGATCAGGCGAAATGTGATTTCTGCAATAGACCTCAAGAGTATCGAGGCACCAGCAGCTGGTACAGACCGAGCAGATCATGTGGCTGGTGGGCTGCGGGTACACGATCCAGGCCTACAGAATACAACGGTGATAGAGTCCGCTATAAGTTATTCGTACGACAAACGACATGGAGAGACAGTGCGCAGACTGACGTGTGTAGTGATCATGAAAGAGGCGTGCTTCTCTTTCGCGGTTACACCTTGGCCCAGTTATGGGACAGCGACGTCGAGGACATGTTGCATCTACTCGTTTGGGGCACCTATCCAACATGGCAGCAGAAGAAGGATTTGAACAGAAAGCTTACAGACCAGATGCTGGCTGTCCCAGAAAGTGTGCATCGAACCATCCGAGGATTTCCGTAAGGGCTCTTGTGATTATGGTCCCGTTCAATGACTGACCTGGAGTCTATAGCCAGGCAACATCTCCATTGCCGCTGATCCTGGCTGGGCTCTCGGCATATCTGGCGTGCTTTCCAGACACAATTCCCGCGTTAACACATGCGAACCTTTACCAAGGAAACCTGCGTAATGTCGATCATGCGGTTATCCGAACTGTAGCCGCATATGGTGTTATTTTTGGCCTGGCAAATAGTCACCGGAAGGGTATTGATTTCCAACCGCCATCACCAGAGAATAGCTACTGTGAGAATGTATTTGCTATGGCAGGGCTGGTGGATCCGGCTTCCAGTCGCCCAGATCCAATTAAGCTGTCATGTTTCCGACGCTTTGCCATACTGAATGCCGACCATGGCATGGCCCTGGCTGCATTCGCAACATTAGTGACAGCATCCTCGTTGACAGATCCTATCTCCTGCTTGATAAGTGCGGTGGCAGCCGCATATGGGCCCCTGCACTTTGGTGCTACTGTGTCTGCCCAGCGTACGCTCCGGGACATCGGAAGTATAGATAAGGTCCCCGAGTTTATCGAGGACGTAAAGGCTGGGCGAACGAAGCTATTTGGATATGGACATCGCTCATACAAGGGCTATGATCCCAGGGTTCGTCCAATCCAGTCAATCCTGAAGGACCTGGACTTGTCATCAAATAATCATTTGGAAATAACCGAACGCATAGAGGAAATAGCCTCAGCGGACGATTACTTCCGCCGCAGAGGTCTGTACCCTAATGCTGACTTTTATGGTAACTTTGTCTTCACCGCGATGTAAGCTACGAGTTCCACAGATGAATCACCCCATGGCAGCTGACCAGTGAATAGCGGCTTCGACCCAGATATGATTCCAGCTGCTATGCTGACACAGCGCATAATAGGGATAATGGCTCATTGGCGGGAATACATGCGTATGTGCTGATTGCGGCGAGATAACGGAGTCTTCTAACCCATGGCAGTGACACACGGCAAGCTGTTTCGACCATCACACATATACACAGGTGAAACGGAGGATAACAAGCCATTGCCAAAGATTTAACCGTATGAGCTGTAAGGAATACGTTTGTCTATCACACAGTAACATGATCGTTTCTCAGAAGGGCTCATGCTTTGAGGCTTCTGCCAGTCTAGCACAAGAGAATGCAAGCCAATGAACCAGGCGCTTCCCAAGTTTTATCAAGATGCTGGAAGACAGCGCCTTTGCCCCATAGTTACTGTACATAGTAGACCCCATCAACCCTCAATGTACATCGGCCTTCAGGCCACAGAAGAACCAAGGCGAGATGACCAACAGCCAGGGAGCCTCGGAGGAAAGACTACCTACCGAAACCGCACCCCTTTTACAATCTCATCCCGGAACAGAGCGATATTCAGTCTTCACTACTAGACAAAAGCGGCTAATCATTCTCACAGCAGCCATAGCGTCGACGTTCTCTCCTATCTCGGCTAACATCTACTACCCAGCCCTCAATTCTATAGCTGCTGATCTGGATGTAACCAGTTCCCAAATCAACCTAACTATAACCACATACATGGTACTTCATCCTTCTCACCAGTGCTCACTGAGGAATTTCATCTTTACTTAACCCTACACTATATGCAGATATGTCAAGGTTTAGCTCCCACCCTCACAGGCTCGTTCGCGGACCAAGCTGGCCGCCGCCCGGCCTATATCATCTGCTTTCTGATCTATATAACAAGCAACATCGCCCTAGCCCTACAGCATAGTTATCCCATGCTTCTGGTCCTCCGCGCGATCCAGAGTAGTGGTAGCAGTGGCACTGTGGCCTTGGCATCGGCCGTCGCTGCCGATATCATCACCTCCGCTGAACGGGGAACATACATGAGCATTACCTCCCTAGGGAATATCCTTGCACCAGCACTAGGCCCTCTCATAGGTGGTGTCTTGAGCGAGTATCTAGGATGGCAATCAATATTCTGGTTCCTAGCAATCTCATCCACCGTCTTCTTCATCCCTCTCGTGCTCTTCTTTCCAGAAACATGTCGGACCATTGTCGGTGACGGCTCAATCCCGGGGTCAAGATGGAACAAATCCATCCTCAATTGGTGGATCTCCAAACGTTCCTACGGAGGGCCTATTGCTACTCCTACCAACCCAGAGCCGGTCCTCCAAGCACAACTACCAAAACGAAAGATCAACCCCCTATCTACGATATTCCTTCTTTTCCATCTCCCAACTAGCCTCATCCTCATATCGAACGGCCTTGTCTTTGCAAGCTACTACGCTATAACAGCCGGTCTACCTTCCCAGCTCAGATCCATCTATGGTCTAAGTGACCTGAATATCGGCTTAAGCTTTTTCCCAATGGGCGCTGGTACCCTCCTAAGCGCAACAGTCAACGGGGTAATCGTAGACAGGAATTACCGGCGAATGATTGCGAAAGGCAGACAAGACATGGACTACTTTGATGTCGAGAAAGCTCGATTGGGAGTTGGGGGGCCAATAGCTGTACGCACATACACCCCCACAAGACCTTGTAGTCCGTTGACCACTCTTATTATTCTGTACTAAGATGAAGAAAGCTCCTAGCCCCCCTCCCGATTCTCCTCTACGCCCTCACGATATCAACAGCCAAGCCACCGCCCCTTACGCTAACCCTAGCACTCATCTTTACTATATCCTTCACCCTAACAGCCACGTACAACATCCTAAACATCCTTCTTGTGGACCTCCACTACACAACACCAGCAACAATAATGGCAACAAATAACCTCGTCCGATGCTTCCTAGGCGCAGCAGCAACAGCCCTTGTCCACCCCTGTATCCAGTACTGGGGCGCTAAGGCAACGTACTGTGGCGTGGCGGTGGTCGTACTAAGCGTCATCCCTTTGTTATGGATCGTGTGGACATGGGGTTTACAGTGGAGGAAGAGATGATGGTGTGTATTTACCTAGTACTATTGTGCAGCACAGCCCAATCACCGGGGTCTGGTTGAGGGCGTTTGGTCAGATTCGATCCGATCTTGTACGCCTCTTCTCGCGTTCCTTCTCTATATCCTATTCGTGAATTATGTTTTGTCCAATGGTTCTAGGTGGTCATTGCCCCAAAGCACAGATCAACTGTCCTGTTTGTCATGATTAATTGCCGTGGCTTCAACGTTACACATCGTGTGTTCGGTTTGATATGACAGGAACTGAGAGAGTAACTATAAGAGGATTGTGATGTCCAGTATACTCGTTCTGTCTTCCTGGTTATAGCAATGCATCAAACGTTAGGAACAATGTTATGCATTCTCTTATACCTTCTCTGGACTGGTGCAGTAGCCCAGATAAGTCCTCTGCCTCCGGATATCCCGATCTTGCAATTGCGATATCCTGAGACATCGTGGATATATCCCGGGGATACGATTTTGAAATCCAGTATGATTCTCACTCGACTATCCTTACCTTAGACGTGCGATAACATCTAACAGCTGATGCCAAACCAAGGAACAGCAGACTTACCTATAATAAGCACGGGCGGACTCAATCCCGAATTGACCTATCTCCTTCTATTCTTTGACTTGGACGTTGTTTACGACATGGACGCAACAGTCGCATTACACTGGTACCAGCCTGATATGGTTTGCGTTATGCCACGCAGCAGCCAGATGGATATATCTAAGGAGAATCGAATTTTGGAGAGAGAAGACGGATATTCCAATGGCGGGATCCTGGTCAACCAGAGCACGGGAGCTGAATACATCGCTCCACGACCACCACCTTTCTCGCACCATCGATATGTCCACCTCCTCTTCGTCCAAAAGACGGATTTCCAGTTCCCAAAGTGCTATTCCCATATCTTCCCGCCGACGGCAGAGGCGAGAGCGGGCTTCGATGTGCACCAGTTCGTAGCCGCCGCTAGGCTTGGTGCGCCCGTGGCCGGGAACTATTTCATGGTGGAGTACGATGGGCCCGTGATGAAGCCGACGGCTACGGCTAGTCCGACGACGACGTGGCTACGGTCTATGCTGTGCGAGGGTGCAAATCCCACGGGTTCGGCCGGGACAAAGGCATGTGAGATGGGAGGGAAGCTGCAGGTTGTGATGTAGGACGACAGGGTTGAGGGAGTGCGTGCGGAGAGTCTAGACAAGGGGCGAAGGGTGGATGCAGCAGCAGCTCCTCGTGATTGTGGAGTTCAGGCGATAGGCAGATTGATATGGAGTGACTTCTGCACTAGTCTTTGATCACGGTAGTACTGCACTGGCCACGAAGCTGATCCCTCAGGCTTGGCTATTCGAAACAGCGTTTAATCACACTACGGTGAGGCCCTAGGCATAAGGCCCTACGGCTAATGATTAATTCCAAATACCTGAAACTGCCGATGGGTCGTGGAACTTGGATAATGTAACCTGGATAAGGAACGAACTGCATCCCATTGCTACCTTGGTGCTGAACCTTGAGCCCATTGATACCTGAGGGCGCTGTGGAGAAGGTAGCAATGGGATGAACGGGTACCTCAGAAAGAAACTGATCGGCCGGTATATAGCATGCCGGACAGAAGACCCGAGAGTAGCTCACCGATCCAAACCCGGTGTTGGACCCAGTCGCCATGAATCGAGATAGATCGTCCAGAATGATTCCCGATCCGCTCCCCAAAAGTGTTAAAGTCCGCTCTACTTGCAATGCTTGTCAGCAAGCCAAAATCCGTTGTAGTCACGAGAGGCCATCATGTCGACGATGTCAGAAGCACAAGATAGATTGTATCTACAGCATGTCCCGACGCTTAGGAAGGCCCGCAAAGAAGAGGGACAGTGCGCAGGACGATTCCCTGGATTGTGCAATCTCAGATCACCCTCGGCATCAGACCAATCGAAGAGTTCGAAGTCCCAGGAAGAGGAAGGTCAAGCGGGACTCGGGGCAGAGAAGTGGGCATGATATAACAAATCCCCAGGAGGACGAGGAGGTTATCCTGGACGAAATCACCTTCAACGACTCCATTGTAGATGATATGTCTACCGAGGATACACGCCTACCAACCCCGCCATTCCTCGATACAGACAAATTGTCACTCTATGAGGGTATGTTTTATACCCCCTGTAGGAGAGGCAAGCTAACATGGATGACCGGTTTCTGCTATCCAGGCGCTGATACCATTGATCTATCCGACAACTGGCTACAGGAGTTTATATCTGGACAGTCCGCCGACTTGGCGCAGGACCGCAATTTTCTCGATGCTCTTGGTATAAATAATGCCGACACTGGCCTTACAGCCATTCCATCAAGCACAAAAGATCTTACCGGTTCTACTGGGACAATCGACGTGGCTTCCTTCGAACTGCAAGACCAGGTGCCACTGGGCGCGTATTATCCACCAGCAAGTGGCCACTCGGCCTATAGTGAGCCAACGACGGAAAGTGCGCAGGTAATGGCTGATATAGCGTCCCCTTATACAGCGTTTCTTAAAAGGGATTCGATAGCTTGGCCACAGACTGTACCGTCTTCAACTGAGAGTGATTCTGCTAGATTGCCTACTGCAAGCGATCATCTGAACCCACTAATCACAAGCAAGGGGCAACGACGCACCCACGAATATAGTCACTCATCGGAAGGTCCAGGGTTGGCTACGACTATTACAGCTCGCCAATATCAGTGTCAGTGCCATGATCATATTGCTCGAGATTTGATGCTGCTCAATATCAGCGCTTCTCGCACATGGCCAACAGTCACAATTGACTCGATCTTGAAATGCCAGCAGATCCTACAGCAGTTAACGGACACTATCCTCGAATGCGCCATTTGCTGCAAAACACGGGTAAACTTGCTCATGATAGTCGTTGTTAGTATCGATAGTCTAGTTACCGCACTCGAAACAATCACGTCCGTTGACAGTGGTGTTTGGGATGGCGTATTTGTCGAGTATCACGAAAGTCGCCTTCGGGAGTATGGACAGGAGGGTTTGAATGGGGCTGCTAGTCGTCGGTACAAGAACGCAAACTTTCATTTCAAAGCACAGGTAGAGGAATGTCCATTATTAGTGGGTGGGTTCCCAGTCCCATCGGAAGAGAAGTTTGCTTTTGTGAAGCAAGTTCTGCACGCGCGACTTTGCGGGTTGTCAAGTATCATCGGTCGGATACAGCGCTGTACTGAAGAAATATTAGCTCTTCCGTCATCATGGGGAAGATTGAGCATGATTACAGAGACAAATCGAAGGGTGCAGTCGGTTATGACGAAAATGAAACTCCCGGCGAAACGTTGAACCGGTACAAATTGTACCGTACAATATCTGGAGCTAACATCTTATTATAATTCATATTTCGTTCCATGTAATGATAATCTGTGCCTGCGTACCTGTGTATTCCTTTTGACCCCCCCCCCCCCCCCCAACATAAGCCATAAATGTTCGCACCCTGATAGTACGGTCTAGGTCATTCTGTGTATATGCGACTATGCTTGGTCTTTTGAATGACATTGCATTTTGAATAAAAATGGTAGGTGTCTAGACACCAGTCCGGATTGACCGCCACTCGGAGGGTAGGATAGTTGGGAACTATTGCTCTCCATTGTCAACTGCTGTGCGACCCTTTTACGGGTCTTAGGACGCGGGTGTGCCACGACGAACTGGCTCCGTACTGAACGGACCAACAGAGCTCCCTCGTTGACTTCGAGCTGACGAACCGTGAGGCGGCTATCAATTGAACCATCACATATTCGATAGAAAGTCGTATTTCTATTGGAGTAATTGAAGGTGATGTGCGCCCTTGTAAACGGAAAGTACCTTGAAGGGTATTCAAGCTTTAGGCTGACCTGCCCCTTTTTCCCGATGCAGTAACAGATGCATGGTAGGCTGCTGATTCACGCGACTGGGAGCCCGATGCCCAGAGGTATGTAGGGTGAGCATCTACCAGACAACCCTTGAGTTTTCTGACACCGAGACATCAACTTTGTTGGGCAAGGACAAGTGTGAGGACTAGTCCGCTATAACTGTCTCCCACAGATGGAACCCGAAAGCAGTTGTAGGTGTTCAATCGATGCCTTGCAAATTCTGACGGAGATCCGGAATGTAGACACGGTCGTGGAGTTTGAGACGATCCTGGACTTGGTCCAGCGCGTCTATGTGCAAGGACAAGCTATGCTGAATTGCAAAGATTGTCGCAAACTTCGGCCACAATCTTCCGCCGTCTTGACCATCCCTGCCCTTACCGATCATTGTCTCTCATTTTTTGAGGCCGTATGCTCAGCATATAGCATCACCCGCAAGAGTTGTCTTTTCGAAGCGAATATCCTTGCATTTGAGCAGCCTCTGCCCCAGTTTATCTGCATTCGAAGCAAGGTGCAACTGGGAGAAACAGATTTGGACGAAGCCGAGACTGGGATGTTAGTTCGAACCCTTCTGTGTCGCAATTCTATGAGGCTTCTCAGCCTACTAGAAGCTCTTCAGGGTATCCTCCGAACGCTTTCGACGGACACTACCCAGGTTCACCGAGCTGGGGCGGCAAACCTGCGGGCGTATGAGTCGTCCATCCAGTCAACCATGCACCGGTTCGTGGCATTCCTGGACCAGATAAAAGTTGAACAACGTACGTCATTGATTTCATGCCCATGTATGATAGGCTAATTGCACCAGTGGGCTAAGGAAATACCAAGGGGCAGTCACCTTGTCTGATCATCGTCCCAAGCGTATAATTCTGGAAGGCATTGTTAACTCGATTCGAGGCTAGTCACTTCTAGGTATGGTAATGGCATTATTAGGTAATGAAACAGTAATGAGAAGGATAGTACAAGAAGCAAAAGTATACCACTTCGTCGTATCGTCCCAGGCCCCACTTTTTTAACAGTATATGCTCCTTCTCTTGGTCCAGGAGATTGGCCAAGTGACTTTAGTGCCCGTGGTATGGGGATGCGCGGGACCATACAACAAGTACCGTCTAACTCGGCCAGGGGCGTTCGAAGTGCCCAACCCATTGACCCCATCCCACAACTTTGCCAATCATTGCTTTTGTAATCTGCTTTTGGCTGACTCGTTGGCTATGATCGAGCCAAATGGACTGGCTGAGGGCAACGATAGTAAAGATGTATCGATGGGCGCCGTGTCCTAAGGGCGGGGCAGGCCCGATGTATGAGCTTCCGAGTAGGTTTGGGACGTATCTCCATCCAGACCGAGTAACATGCTCTCTTGTGTTTCTGCCCTGCTCGGTATCGCTTGGGAGCACACCCGTAATCGTAGGTGGAATGGCATAGAACAGCCCATGCATGACAACGAAGCGAGGAATGGGCGGGTCGATATCCTCGGAGATCAGGATATACTCTTTGACTTCGACCTTGGGTGGAGGAGTCCAACGGAGTTCCGGGAAGCTACCATTGTTATCGGCAGCTAAACAAGTGTGGTGCGGTAGCATCGATGAGCCGGACGGTCCGCATTCTGTGGCTTCCAGCTGCATATTGGACAGTGGGAGGTTCTCAAAGGCTGAAGTCCGGATGATCTGTCCCGCATCATGACCACGAATGTGGTAGAGAAGCCGTCCCAGGAAATACTGTAAATAGAGTAGAATCCTTGTCACCATGTTTGACTATTGACAACTCAGAGAAGATAAGAGTAGACTTAAATCAGGAACACTAGTAACAGTACTAGTATAGAGGTATCAAGCATGAAAGCTATAGGTGACTGGTCAAGGTTTTATAAATAGAAAAGGAGCACCGGTGAGAAGATCAAGAACCGGAAGGAACAATTAACTGGAGGCTGGAACGGCCCGGTACCGGCCTCTCCTTCCATGCAGAGTACTACTAGTAGTTAGTAATAACGTCAACATGGTCATGCTGCATCTAGCACATAAGGCCTGTTGACAAAAGATATAGACAATACGTAAGTGAGAATAGCTGTTCAATGTTCTGTACCATTAAAGGGCTTGATTCTGGTTCCTACATTCTCGTTGGATTTGCAAGAATAAGAACACACGAAGAGTATACAGCTCCCCGCAAACGCCATGAATGTATAAATAGGCAACTTATTCGGACTTCTACCACTGCAGCTCGGGGTGTGAATCAGCGAGATTTGCAATGCCACGACCAGGTGTTAGACCCGAGGCCTTTCCCTCCATCATCGCTTCAAACAAGTTACGACCAAACTTCCTAAAGGCGGACGCGATACCACCATGATGAAAGAGCTCTCTCTCCATTGGACTGAGATTAAACCTGAATATTCTTCCATCCATGTTAATAGTGCTATCGTCGAAGTCAATCGCGATCTCTGCTCCATTCTCGACAGCTGCGTGGAATGATCTCTCTGGCACGGTAATGCCAAGGAGTCCAAGGTTTGGCATGTTGCGCTGAAAGATGAAAGCGAAGCTTTGGGCAATAACACACTTAACACCACACCCTGAGAAATGCGAATTAGAAAATAAAGGAAAAGGAACCATGGAAGAAGAAAGTATAAGGGTTGCAATACCTAGCAATGCCATGACAGCCTGTTCCCGAGATGATCCACAGCCAAAGGCCTTGCCGGCAACCACAACATTGAAACCCTCTTTAACGTGGTGACGGAACTCTGGGTGTGTATATCGCAAGCAGTGCTCTCCAGCTGCTTCGTTAGTCGCCATGTCAACCAAGAACTCAGCTGGTGCAAGCTTGAAAAGCTGTTAATTGACGGTGCTTATCTGATCCTCTTTAGAAGTCGACAACTTACAGCGTCTGTATCTATAAAATCTCCAAGGAGCTGGGCTTTTCCTGTTAGAACCTCATTCTTTATAACCTGTGGTGCAATCAGCATGCTTCCAATGGTTGGTTCCTTGTTCTGGATTTCACAGCAAGGCCTTGAAGGCTCGCTCGGCTCCACATATTCTACACTCTGGGTTAAGGCTTCTTCTGGGATAATAGAAGCTTCATTTTTTCGCAGCTTGTCCCATTTCTCTGCTTGGATAGCATCCAGAAGATAGGCAGGATCAGTGATCCTCATATCAAATGAGGATGCAGCAACAGTAGCAGCAGATCCGAGGTGTCCAATTGACCCTACATTGTAAAATCAGTATATACAAGTTCACCCTTGTCATGCAGTCTTGAACTGTACCTTTTCCCATTCGATTCTCGAAGTTCCGATTTTGCGATGACAGCCATACTTCACCTGGCGCTGCCTGGTCAGCAGACATGCCAACACAGTAGCTACATCCAGGGATGCCGATATCAAACCCCGCTTCCTCGTACACCTCAACCAGGCCGAGTTGGCGTAGTCGATATAAAATCGGCATTGAGCCGGGGACGATCTTCCTCTTGCCTTTTACAGATGGCCTCAGACCACCTTTTAGGCCCTGTTCAAGTACTAAGGCGGCCAGTATGAGATCTTCTTCGGCAGTGGTGCAGGCTCCAATAAAGCAACCGTCCAACTTCATGCCTTCACAATCAACAACCGGAACAACATCATCCGGCCGAGGATACTTTGCTATGAAGGATTGAACTTTGCTGAGATCAATTTCGTGAGTTTCAGCATATTGTGCATCGTCATCTGGCTTCATATAGATACTTGCGCTTTTGTGGCGTGGAATTTTGCGCTTTTGCATAAACTTTTGCGTTTGGATGTCCGGGACAAAGACTCCAGTAATACCACCAAACTCCTATCATATAGTTGAGTAGTGTACTTCATGGTTAGGGGTTGATGTGATCCATACTGCTGTCATGTTCGATATCGCAAACCGAGCGTCAGAGGACAGGTGTTCCAGTCCAGGCCCACTGTACTCCACAATCCTATCTGAGGCAATGCTATCCCTTTTCAGTTGTTGCAATATATAAAGGATTGTATCTTTTCCACCAATTCCCAACTTGGGCTTTCCAACCAGACGGATTTCGATAGATTCTGGGACTTTAAACCACGTCTCTCCGGTTACTAGTGGCAGTGTCACATCCGCAGCACCAAGGCCGATAGCCAGGCATCCAAGCGCTCCAGATGAACAGGTGTGCGAGTCCGACCCTACTACGAGCATGCCCGGCTGCGCTCGTTCACGATAGAACTCTGTGTGGAGAATTGTATACTATATGCGCTTACTAGTAGGTCACCGGGATTTCAACAGGGAACTAACATTCATCCCTTGGTATTCCGTCAACTTGAACACGCGCTTTGCTCTTTCACTCGCATCGATCAATGCCTGAACCTTTGGGGAACTGTTGACCCGAGGATCAACTACATGATCCCCAGCAAGCCAGAAGCGGTCATTGCGGAAGATTCCTGGCTTTCTAAGGCGGTTGTACGTTGACTCCATGCCCTGAAATGCCCTATGAGTGCGCTGGTGGCGAAGGGGAGAATAATACCTTCATCATGCACTTACTGCCCAAGAAGCCTCGGATGCAATCACCCAATCTACATCAACTCGTATCAGGTCACCTGGAGCTACCGACCCCCGCCGATCAATATCGTGCAATGAGAAGAGCTTCTCACTTAGGGTCATGCCCCTTCGGCCTCCAGGGCGGACAGGCAGTGGAGCGGGAAATGACTTGGCCCTGTCTGCCGAATTCAGCGACTCCCACCATGCCGACACCAGAAATAGAACCTCCGACTCTTGGTCCTCTGTAGGGTCGGTATGTTCCGTAAGACCTAACCCACCCAGCTCGGGACGTTGTGCACAGGTAATAAGGATATCGCCCAGGGCGTCGGATTCTCGGAAATGACCGTAATCACGAAGGGTGCCTTGTGCAATCTTAAGGTTCTTTAAGAGATTGCTGCTGCCTAATGACAACGTTCCTTCAATAAGCCTGTCAGATATTGCATTTTCTGTATGCTTACTAGAGGATGCGCTTCTCAGAAACATACTCTTCGCATGTTCGATCCTAATCTTCCGTACATCCTCCAGGATCTCGTAAAGGTGACTTAGACTCGTCCTACTCTTCTGAGACATGTTCGGCTGTCGTGGCTATGGAATGCTTTAACAGGTGGTAAGGGACAGAAGATTATTAGCAGTCGGCATGTTATAGGGTGAAGTCTGATACGTCACTTCAGCAATTCCTAGGATACTAGCACTAGTAGTACCATGCTAAACCTAGACACTGTAGAGTAAGCCTAAGGCACATGCAAACTGCCTTGCGACCGCACAAGACTACAGAGTAGAATTCAGCATTTTTCTTTTTCAAGAAGGTTAACCGCTCGATGAAGGGGCGAACAAAGGAGGTGTTGGTGCAGACATCCGACCCGTGGGCAACTCTCTATCCGTACTTCTGATTAAGGAGGAACAACTTCCTACCAAGAAGAACAGGAAAATAAAATAATAAATTACGGGTATACCCCGCATGTAAAATACCCCATTCATCGGAGCTTTTAAACTTAATGTTACGAGGTGGATGCAACCCATGAGAAGTTAACAGGCTTACCAAGTTACTAGTTTTGCCCGAGATCGATTTTCTCTCTCGAAGTGTCGTACTAGTAGAACAAGTAATAGGATATAAACGATATTGGTGTCCCCGTTCGGCAACGGCCCATGCTGTTGACATTTGCTTTGATTGTTTGTACCGCGGTGGGGACCTGCAATATAAGGCAAGAATAAGGTACGGAGGACGCTGTCAAACTGGAGCCCGATGACCAACATTAACCCAACACGGTTTAGCTCCGGAACAATTCTGGGTCTGGAGTGGGGACCGTCCCAATACGAGGTCAATACGAAACCAATGAACGTTCTATTATCTTACGTAGGATATCACCTTGGACCATACAAATACCACCGTTGGTGGAACAGAGAAAGGCGTTGGACAGGGTTGTGTCGTGTTTACACTCGTAGCTCCCTGCGATTCTTGCCAGGTCATCCTTACAGAAGGGGTCTGAGCTGGATAGAGGGATAATGAATCAGCACAAACAAAAAGGAAAGATCCCGAGACGGAACGCAATACGTACCGAGTCGTGTGTAGTACCAAAGGTTCCTCGCAATCTGGAAGTTAATAACCCGGTCCGGTGAGAGAGTACCAGATTCAGACAGGTACACTGATCGAGCTGCGACCCACTCGAGAACAAAGATTGATATGCCATAGCTCCGGAGTAGACTACTCGTAGCTTCCGCAGGGAGCATCCTCGCACATGACTTAGTGACCACATCAATGAACGTGAACCAAACGGTAACGGCCTATCGGTTCCCCATGCCAAGGACCTGAGAGTCGCACTTTCCAAACGCTACAAAGGCACATGGTACAATGATCTCTCGGCCATGGACCGGCTCGGCTACTGTCTTTTCCTATCCCCTACCCTCACTCCTCTGTCCGTGTTATGCTTTCCTGGTCGGATGTCGTTTCTCCCGTATTCCGTTATTCCGTGTCACTATACTTTCTTATATGGCGTCAAACTTTGCCTCCCCGTTGTTTACTCAGCCCTGATTATTTTGTTTTAGTCGTTGTCCCTTCCTGCTTTGCTTCCTTCCTGCCTGTTTTCACTGCAGTGTCTCTGTCTCTGAGTACACGTTCTGCCATCTCTTCTTCCCCCTATTTCTCGAACTGTGTGTTGGTATCACATGTGGTATTATGATAAGCTGTCGGTGTAGTCTCCGTGATCGCACTACGAAGCACTGTGGGCCTTTCGTTAACACCTACAACGTCCGTTGAACCCTCAACGACATCGAACATGGCACGGCCTGGCGGCGAAAGCTCACTGCATCGCCATACCGGCACGCGTGTGGACCAAACCACCGGGTCCGCGGTTGACAAAGCAGAAAGCTCGGATACAATTGAAGCTGACTCGGAGGATGGCATCGAGCAAGCTGGGCAGACCAAGATTACTGCATTGGCACGAACCTTGTCGCGTATCTCTCAGGCACATGGCGGCACCGAGGGATTGAACCCATTTCTGGATAACAGTGACCCCGAATTGGACCCGAACTCGGACCAATTCAACTCTCGCAAATGGACCAAGAACCTCTTGCACGTAACCTCGCGTGACCCTGAGCGCTACCCCCGTCGCACTGCGGGAGTCTCGTTTCGCAACCTCAACGCATTCGGTTACGGAACGGCGGCTGATTATCAGGCTACTGTATCAAATGTCTGGCTCAAGGCAGTGGGTTGGCTCCGAGGCCTTTTCGGAAATGGGAACAAAGTTCGAATTGATATTCTGCGCAACTTCGAAGGCTTTGTCAACAGTGGGGAAATGCTAGTGGTTCTGGGCCGACCTGGGAGGTAAGCGGCTTTTCTCCGCCGAGCGCTGTCAACGGACTAACTTTAATATCTGTAGTGGTTGCTCGACCTTCCTGAAGACCATCGCTGGTGAAACCCATGGGCTATGGCTCGACGAAGGAACCGACATTCAATACCAAGGGATCTCATGGGACGAAATGCATAGTCGATTTCGGGGAGAGGTGGTGTACCAGGCAGAAACAGAGATCCACTTTCCCCAACTCACTGCTGGAGACACCCTTCTTTTTGCGGCACGCGCACGGGCACCAGCAAACAGACTCCCTGGTGTGAGCCGTGATCAATATGCGACCCATATGAGGGACGTTGTCATGGCCATGTTAGGTCTTAGCCATACCATGAACACACGAGTAGGAAACGAGTTCATTCGGGGTGTCTCAGGAGGCGAGCGCAAAAGAGTTAGCATTGCGGAGACTACACTATGTGGTAGCCCCCTGCAATGCTGGGACAACAGCACGCGAGGATTGGACAGTTCGACTGCTCTCGAATTTGTCAAAAACCTACGTCTATCTACGGACTACACTGGATCCACAGCCATCGTGGCAATCTACCAGGCGAGTCAGGCTATCTATGATGTATTCGATAAGGTCATTGTCCTCTACGAAGGCCGCCAGATATATTTCGGCGGTGCGCGCGACGCGAAACGGTTTTTCATCGAAATGGGCTTTGACTGTCCGGAGAGGCAGACTATCGGAGACTTTCTAACATCCCTCACCAGTCCGACAGAGCGGCTGGTTCGTAAGGGGTATGAGCACCTGGTCCCTCGTACACCAGACGAGTTTGCGGCGCGATGGAGGGACAGTCTAGAAAGGAAGCAGCTCTTGACAGACATTGAGGTATTTCAGCGTGAGTTCCCCTTAGGAGGACACAAAAAGGAGGAATTCAGTCGTTCTCGAGCTGCGGAGAAGGCCAAGAACACCAGGGCTTCCTCCCCTTATACCTTGTCATATTGGATGCAGATCCGGCTTTGCCTTCAACGAGGGTTTCTACGTCTCAAGGGCGATATGAGCATGACGCTATCAACGGTAATCGGTAATAGTATCCTAGCACTAATCATCTCGAGTGTTTTCTACAACTTGGATAACACTACAGAGAGTTATTTCTCACGGGGCGCATTGTTGTTCTTTGCCATATTGCTGAATGCCTTTGCTAGCGCCCTTGAGATGCTTACTCTATGGCAACAACGACCAATTGTGGAAAAGCACGATAAATATGCACTTTACCACCCATCGGCTGAAGCAATCAGCTCCCTAATTGTGGATCTTCCAGCCAAGGCACTAGTTTCCGTGGTATTCAACTTGATTCTTTACTTTATGACGAACTTGCGTCGGACACCGGGGCATTTCTTTGTGTTCTACTTGTTCTCCGTGACAACAACGTTAACTATGTCCAACGTGTTTCGCTGGATCGCTGCAATTTCTCGGTCCTTGGCGCAAGCAGAAGTTCCTGCTTCAATATTTATGATGATACTGATGATCTACACGGGGTTTACTATTCCGGTCCGGGATATGCGCCCTTGGTTTCGATGGCTCAATTACCTCAATCCAATAGCAGTAAGTTTCTGGATCGCCGTCTCATGTGAATTGCACATTTTTTGCTAAAACCAGCGAAAACAGTACTCGTTTGAGTCCCTCATGATCAATGAGTTCGCCGGCCGTGAATTCCCATGTGCAACATATGTGCCTTCCGGTCCAGGGTATGAGAATACGCCTCTAGACTCGAAGATTTGCTCTGGAAAGGGCGCTGTGGCAGGCCAGGATTATATAGATGGTGATCGATATCTCGAAGTGGCGTTCGAATACTATCCCTCGCACCTATGGCGTAATTTCGGTATTCTTCTGGGATTTCTCTTCTTTTCGCTGTTGGCTTATATTGTCTCCAGTGAGCTTGTGCGGGCGAAGCCCTCGAAAGGAGAGATCCTGGTATTCCCTCGTGGTAAAATACCCGCTTTTGCAAAGAAGGTCCATCGGGAAGCGGATCCAGAAGATGTTCTCACCTCAGAGAAGCTGAAGGTTGGCAATGAGCAGGATGATCATGTCGGCGCCATTGTCAAACAAACATCGATATTCCATTGGCAGGACGTTTGCTATGATATCAAAATCAAGGGTCAGGACCGCCGAATCTTAGATCACGTTGATGGGTGGGTTAAACCAGGGACTCTCACAGCCCTAATGGGTGTGACCGGAGCTGGTAAAACCTCTCTCCTCGATGTTCTGGCCAATCGGGTGACTATGGGGGTGATCACTGGTGAGATGCTAGTGGACGGGCGCATGCGTGATGACTCTTTCCAGCGCAAAACAGGTTATGTACAGCAGCAGGACCTGCATTTAGAGACAAGTACTGTTCGGGAGGCCCTTGTTTTCAGTGCCCTGCTCCGCCAGCCCGCAAGCACCCCACGGAAGGAAAAGCTAGCATATGTAGAAGAGGTTATCAAGATGCTCAATATGGAAGAGTATGCTGAGGCGGTTGTTGGAGTCCTTGGTGAGGGTCTCAATGTTGAGCAGCGCAAGCGGCTGACGATCGGAGTCGAGATTGCAGCCAAACCGGATCTTCTACTTTTCTTTGACGAGCCTACCTCGGGCTTAGATAGCCAGACTGCGTGGTCTATATGCTCACTCATGCGAAAGCTTGCCGATCATGGCCAAGCCATTCTATGTACAATCCACCAGCCCTCAGCTATCTTGATGCAGCAGTTCGATCGGCTACTATTCTTAGCAAAAGGGGGCAAGACTGT